CAACCATTTTCTGGATGACCCCATGATCTGGTTATGGGATCGGATGTCTGGATTTACACATAGATTACACCTATAAACACCTATTGGAGTAAGTGGGAAAAGTTATTTCTATTAAATTGAGATCTGATCTCTTGATTGTAAAATAAAGGTTATAGTTAAGATTTAAGTGTGTTAGGTTCAAATTATTAGGTTGTTCGGATATAGACAAGCGTTGCTAGACTTATTGTTGTGAGGGGAGCTTTTAAAATATGTCTTTCTGTATTTAAAAGTACGTTAACTTGTGCATATTTGGAGTCTTTTTAAACGAATAATTTCTTATTTTTAAGATCTTTTTTTCCTGCTTTAGATGACCGATTTCAAAAATCAAGTTTGCGTCTGTCTACTTTACCACTTCAAACTGGGCAAAACATCCGCGAAATCCGGAACAGTCGCGGAATCTCATCGAGGTTTGAACCAAGCCTTTGGGAATAATGTATTGTCCGAAAGCCGATGCCGAGCCTGGTTCTAACACTTTTGGAATGGTGATGAAAGTCTTGAGGATGATGAACACTTTCGTCAACCTTAAGCGGTAGACAACGATATTTTGAGGGCTGCAATCGAATCGGATCCATGTCAAATGACGCGTGAACTTGCTCAACAGTTTCTATGTTCAAATTCTACTATTGATGAGCATCTCCACGCCATTGGAAAAACGATCAGATGCGGGAAATGGCTTCCTCACGAGTTAAGCAGTGCAAACGCTCGTTTATATCCGAATAACCTAATATGTTTTCTCAAAAGTGCTCAACAACCGTAATCACACAGTTCATAAATAGAAAGTTATTTTCATTTTCCAAAGTCAAAATGAAGTGTAACTATTGTTTTTTTTGCAAACAGGATTTGATATTAATTTTTAGATAACTTCGAAAAGCATAGCATAAATAGAAAATGAGTAACAGCTCAATGAATAGGGTAAAATGTTATTGAAAGTAGACTTTTACTCAACTTTTAGGACTTACTTTTTAGAACCTAGGATTAAAAATAACTTTTTACTTATGAACTGCGTGATTACGGTTGTTTAGCACTTTTTAGAAAACATAATTTGAGAGGAGCACACTTAAATCTTAACTATAACCTTTATATTATAACCAAGAGATCAGATCACAATCTAATAGCAAGAACTTTTCCCATTTGCTCGAATTCCCAGTAGAAAACCAAGTTTGCTATCTATTGTATGGAAATTCATGATCAAAACACAAAGAATGATAAATTTATTGCCAAATGTGATGCCAAATGTGATGCCAAAAGAATGCACACCTCAATTTACTCCAACAACAATGACTTCCATAATTTGTTCTATAAATGTTCCATAAATATTTGTTTAAAACTATAAAATTCCGATAAGAATAGAAAAAAAGTAAAACTTTCAGAAATAATAAAAGAAAAGCGCTTAGACAAGCAAAAAAAAATCGTTTAGAAAAGCGCATTTTTTAGAAAATAACTTTGTTAACAAGCACCTTTTAGAAAACATGATTTGAACGATTTGGTTTGAGTTACGGTTTGATTTGAGAGGAATACACTCTAGTTAAGTATAGTTCCCCAGGTCTAGTACCCTGGCTTGTCTTTAGCCCGACCCACCCGATCTTGCCTTGACTTTGAGTTAGAGCATCAGCCTGGTCCTGTTTGTCTTTCTTGCCAGCCTTGTCTTGTCTCTAGCCTGGCTTACAATCTATTTACTATTTACTCTATTTACTTCAGATTAAAAATAAGCAATGTTTAATCCAACGCGTTCCTTTCAACACCTCAAACCCAGCCATCACTCATCAATTTCCGAATGGGTATCGAGGGAATTTCGGGGCCGATTGTTTCTCCTTTTCCTTTCAAAAGACCTAATTGAATGAAATATTGTTGTCGTTTAAATGGCTTTTTTTCTTTTTCCATCTCACAGATCTCACAGATCAACACGTCGTTTCATTTGCATTTTCACTGCTTTGAAAGGGTTTTTCCCGCAAAATGGCAACTTCAAAGGGAATGAGAAAATGGGAAATCCAAAGCACAATAGGATTTAGCTGTTATTTAGATTTGCAAGAGTTTTTCAGCTTTCAGCTTTCCTTATTGATTCAATCGTTTATTCCGAGGACACACTTCTAGCTCCGCTATTTCTAGCTCTCTAAGCTATTTCTAGCTCTCTAAGCTAACCATCAGTTTGAACAGTGTTGACCAGTGCGCCAGAAACACTGTGTTTACATTTTTACAGTTACAGTTAAACAATAAGATCTACTAGAAAAGAATACTAACAACTTTCTGTGTAATCCACATGTTTAAGCTCAATAATCAACCTGAGCTAAGCAATAATCAATCAAATGAACACATTAGTGACACCCCAATCCACTAAAGTTCATCAGATTCAGATTACCCACAAATTCCACCTAATTAACACTGTTATTGAAAAAGAAAAGATTTATAAATGCTAATTTATACTCTTTCCCAGGGTCATCCAGGAGATCCCGAGATTGGGCAATGTTTATATTGCGCAATATGGTCTCAAGAAAATAATGACTGAACGATTTTTACGGGAAAAGTTTTTCTTTTAAAAAGAACTGGCATCTAAAGAACTGGCAATAAAAAAGATGTATCTAAAATAATCAAAAAGAAATTTTACTTGGATTTGGTACGTTTTTGAAAAACAAAAAACATAATCTTTCAAATTCTAGAAGGCCTGAAAGCTGAAATTTGCCTGATCTTGTCTGAATGTTTTTAGAATTTTCCGGCAGAATAGGAACAAATTGATAGTCTTATTGTTATAATGTAGTCAAGAAATGTCTTCTACAATTTCTACAATTTACAAGTCTTTCCTACAAGTCCAATTTTCTTCTTACGCAATTTGACTCGAATCCAAAATCTGTTACTAAACCAGAAGATGAATTGTTGATCTCATTCTCTGGATCTCTCATCATTCTCTTCTCTTAAACTCATCCCAATCAACCCGTGTTTGCCTGATCTTGTCAGAATAGAAACAAATTGTTTTGAATTGAACAAAACAAAGAAAACAAACAATTGTCAGTCTTATCGTTAGTGAATCAAGAAATGGTAAACTTCTACAATTTACAAGTCTTTCCTACAACTCCAATTTTCTTCTTACGCAATTTGACTCGACTCCAAGATCTGTCACTAAACCCATAAGATGAATTGTTGATCTCATTCTCTGGATCTCTCATCATTCTCTTCTCTTAAACTCATCCCAATCAACTCGTGTCAATATTTGCTCACAATCGAGCCAAGATCAAGATTGAGATGGATAAGTAAGAGATATTTACCCAACGATCACTTTTGTTTATGTACTCACTGCTTCTCACTTCACCTTATAGAAGAAGGCAATTTGTTGGAGCACCTATGCAAATGGAGATCGATTTATAGCCAAGAGTTGACCTGTAATTGGTAAAAACTGTACTCTAGCACAATTTTAGTTTTCAATGTTGTTTTTGAGTAATGATGACAAATTTGCAGTCATTTATTTCCCCGTTAGATAAAAACCATTTCAAGACCTTGAAATCTTGCATTGAAGATTGAAATCGATTTTTTTTTCAAACCCTTAAATCCACCTTAAAATAAAAATCATTGACACTGACAAATTTCAATTCATTCAAAAGCTAATTATTCGATTTCTTTTGAAGAGGCAATGCGATGAATGATGTTTCGCAATCCGGCACTCTCTTTTTCTTTCTTTCTTTCTTTCTTTCTTTTTCTTTTCTCTTTTTTGTCTAGGTTGGGTGGTACGGTCAATCACAAAGAAATGCAAAAAGAAAGCTGAATAAGAGTTTGATTCAAATGACTCAGCATATCAAAAGATACTGTAGCTGTGATTCTTTGCGTAGATTTATGTCTTGCTAGTCTTGCCTTGCTCTTGCTAGTCTTGCCTTGCTCTTGCTAGTCTTGCCTTGCTCTTGCTAGTCTTGCCTTGCTCTTGCTAGTCTTGCCTTGCTCTTGCTAGTCTTGCCTTGCTCTTGCTAGTCTTGCCTTGCTCTTGCTAGTCTTGCTAGCCATCTCTGGTGTTTTCAAATGAATCGATCATTGAGATTATTGTATTGGAATAGATTCTAGTTTTGCCTTAAAAGGCCTTTCGAATGAATCAGCATGACAAAGGGATACTGTTGGAATTTGTTGAATCAAATATAGTCAAATTGTTTTCTATTATATCTATACCGTAAATACTGTAATAGTACCGCCCCCCCCCCTCGTACAGTCGCGTAGTCGCAAAAGTTTTTTAGTATTTCATTTTTTGCAAAGCACCCGTACTTTCAAAAAATGTGTCTTTGGTATCAAAAAATAGCGCTGAATTTCAGCTATTTTTTGGTACCTAAGCGAGCATTGTAGCATAAACCAGTGTCGAGAAAAACTCGTTCAAAGCTAGACTACGCAACATTATGGGGATGGGGTACTATTACAGTATTTACGGTAGTTTAAACAAAGATTTTCGTCAACCTCTTGACCTTTACACAATCTAAGAAGGCTAATGTTTTAAACTAGTACCTCAACTTGCCATTTTTTGATTCGATGCGCTTTATACAGTTGTTATTTTTTTTTTTATTCAGCGCATAATGAAATGAAAAAAAAAAAGAATGGCAAAGTCACAATGGAGTGGTACCGGTATTTAAGACTGTAGGAGAGGCTAAGGGAAACGAAAAAAAAGTAATTAATTAAATAAATCAAAGCAATAACTACTAGAATTAATATAAAGAGATCTTTTAAGTTTACAAAAAGCCAAGTTAGATTTGGATTAGTTATTTAGACCAGATAAAGTTGAATAAAGCACCAATGGGATCTTTTGAGAACTGTAAAAGACGCTGAAGCTATTGAAATTGAAATTTTTCTTAAAAAATGAACTTCAGCATCTTTAGAATAAGTGTTAAATCAAAGAAAGACACATTTTTTTTCAATCAAACACAGTTTTTGGTAAGGCTGCGATGTTTATGAAATCTCATTGCTGATGACTAGTTTTTTTTTAGAAGCATTTTATCTTAATAAACGAAAAAGTTGAAGAAAAGAGAAAGTCCGGATTTTTTCGGTCTTTTTGAATGTTTTCGGTGTGGTTCAAAGAACTCTGCGTCGAAATCATCGCACATTTTGAGGAGATGAGAAGCGAGCAATAAGGCACGATCGTCAAATGAATCTGAAAAAGGCTTAATACATAGATAAAACATAAAACAACAGACTAATCATTTAGTTATCTAATAAGTCAACTATAGAACTTGTAGGAAGAACTTGCAGTAAGTCAACTTGATCTAATTGTTAGAATGGTTTGATGAGCTATTTGAGCCACTGCTCACAATCAATAGTACCGTTTTAAACGAATCTAACAACTGGAGGATAAATGAAGGAAAGGAAATTGTTAATGTTCTCATGTTCTATCTCAATAATTATGGCGCTAAAGTCTAAAAGTTAACGCCTCATTTTTGACTAACCATTTTCCCCTATCGCTCACTCCAATCTCAACCACCCACTTTCATTTCCCGCCAAAAGATCATTTCCTCTAATTTATTGCCCACTTCGTTTCTCCCTATTCTTCACTGTATTGTTTTAAGGAACTATTTGATTGTCTTGAATGGGTCAAGGAAAAAGGGAAGTGTTACTCATTGAGTGGACGGAAGAGAGAGCACTTGTCACTCATGATTGAGCTCAAAAGATTGCCGACAATCGCTCACTTGAGACCCATACGAATCTCCGGAAAGTACTTGGGCTTGATACAGTAGTTTCAAGGTTGAATGGGTAAATAGCTGATAATAGATATGGGTTAAAAGGGGTGTCATAAAGGAGTAGATTGAGCTAATAGAATAACTGAATGAATGTCATTATGAATGCTAATAAGACTCAGGTTAGAGTAAAAGTTGAGTTTAATACAATAAGTTTTTAGATAAAGCTTCAAAAACAGACTTTAGATTAAAATCTATAGTTTAAAAAGTCTAATGGTTAGAAACTTTGAAAAGAAAGAGAGATTTTTAAAAGAGAGTTCAATCTGGGGTATGACAAGAACAAATAGACAAGGAATTGATTAGTTTTAAGCTTATCTTTTAAACTTAACATTAATATTTGATCCACCAACCTTTCTCTGTTTGACAACCAGCTTCCCGAGTCTCTCGAGTTCCCATCGAAGAGGCTTCAGGCAGTCTTGAATGTTTCATCGGTGGTGAGTAGATCGGCAAAAAATCAATCGACGTCGATGGATAGGAGAGAAAACTGGGCGAACCCTCAGAAACAACAGTTGCGAAAATCTGAAAGATTTAATTAACAATTGCAACAATAATTGCAAGGCAATTTATTCAGAAATTTGTCTTGAGTTCTAGAAAACTTAGAACTTTATGTTTTATATTTTAAAATGATCAAATAATACTTTGAAAGTAAAGTTTTAGATGATTATGACTTTAGCAATTACATCTATAAGTGGATTACTTCAAAAACTCACCATAAATCTTTCGCAATGAGTGCTGAGTAGAGAAATGATCAGCCTGGCACGGAGCTTTCCGGGTCGAGGTGTGAACAGATACAAGAAAGGAGGAAACCAGGTGGATCAGCAAAAAGACAAGCGAGATGAGTGAATGAATGAAGGATGCGTACAGTGAGCCAAAACGAGTAAATGAGGTCGGCTGGCAGGGGATGAAGGAAAGAGGGGAGGGGCTGAACTCCAGGCAGACTCCGCCCACTTCTCGATGGAATGGTGCTGAAAGATCCTCTTTCCTTGGCAAGTTTGATCAAGTCTTTTAGAAGAAATTGGGATAATGAAGCTCTTATTGTGACGGAGGACTGGAAAACTTACAAAATAAACAAAGTAGGTTAGTTTTCTGTAAAAAAAAAGCAGCTTCCAGACGCTTTGAGATAAAAGCCACAGGTCGGATCTTCTGAAACCTCTCAAAACTCTACCTTTTTATCGTAATTCTCTTGCTTTAGCTTAAAATTTATAAGAAAAAAACCTTCTTTCATCCTCTTACCATAGCCTTTCTAATGACTTTTTATTTCCAATGCAATGACGAAATAAAGCACTGTGATTTCCTTTCTCAACTCTTTCCCCCTCCCCCAATCTCCTTCTTTTTTCTGAAATTCTATTTGAAAACGACGATAATCATTAGTTGCCGTCACTTCTTCCAAAATCAAAACCTGTTCTTTTTCGTTTCCCTCACTTGGAAGATTGATGAGATCGTTTGGCAGCTCATTATTTCAAAAAGTGTCGCTGGGAAATTGGAAAAAAAAAGGGCCACCTAGGGTGTTTTTGATCATTTATTTCACTAAAGCTATTTGGAGCTGAAAGTTAGGCCAGAAAATGAGTTTAGAAGAGTTAAGACTATTGCTTACTATTACTATTGCTTACTTAACACATTCCAATGCCATTTTTCGATATTTTTGTCTCTGGGAACAGACTGATTTTAGTGTCGGATCAACATAAATATTTAAATTTGCGGCTTTTCAATGTTAGGGAATCCGAATCGTTAATTTTCACTTGTGAACTCACTAAAACCATTTGAAAGCTTGGGTAATTAAACCGAAATGGATTAAAAGAGCGGAAGTTTAATATCTTGGTTGGTTTTCAACATTTTTGTGATCTTTCTTCACTTTTTATTAGAGGAGTTGTCAGAGCATCTTTTGATTTCAAAAGCATCAAAATCGGTCAATTAGGAGAAAGTTTCTTTTATGTCGAAGTTGAAGACTGCCCAAAACGACCGAATGCAGCACTCCTATTTCAATTTAGCCAGAAACTAATACCGAATTCGAATTCCCCATCCCAGAAAACCCTTGTATGCAAATTTTCAGCTTAATTTGTTCATAGATTATTCCAATTTCATGTGGGATCCACCAGCGAGTTCAACTTTTTAACAGTGTGATGTTTGGGGGAATATTTTGGTTAAAATTCCAAGCCTAACTCATTGCTAATTAATACTTTGATTACAAATTTTGTGCTTGAATGCGCTTGTAACTTTTTTGATTCACAATTTGATTAGGTTTCTTTCACAGCAAGGTTTGTTTTTTCTAAAAAAACAAGCCTTTCACTCGTCAAATAAAAGCCCCTTTGAGCCATTTTTTGCCGATTGAAAATGTTTCGTTTTCTTTCAAAAGGCGTTAAGTGAAAGCCTTGAAAAACACGGCTTGTCTTTGTCTATGAAAAGAGAGGCATGGGAATGCGCAAATTGAGGACTTTCGCTTAGATTTTTGGCTTTTTTAGGATTGTGAAAGCTAGAATAGGCTGAGATATTGGATTTAGATTTGGATTTGGATTTAGAATCAATAGACGTAAGCAAAGCATTGTACAGAGTAAAGCGGTGTGACTACAGTTTTGTAACTTTTTCTAAAAAGCTACTGTTTAATTCCTACTCTGCTTTCAGCTCTGTCATTCTCAAAGTCCGATATTCATGAGAAGCTTATTAAATTTAGCAGTTAAGCGTATATTACCGCCAATCGCCAAGCCAACCGATGAAACGTGAGCTCAAAAACACAAACGTTTCCCCATAGCTTTCCACCAAAAGCTTTCCGCTTGCAAAATAGATAATTGAGGGGATAATCGCTGTTTTTCCCTGAAACACTTAGCAATTGGAAGCCCGTTGGATTGATTGTCAAAGGAAAGCCCGCCTTGAAGGGATGCGCAATTGAGGTGTCATCTTACTGTATCCAATCGAGAAGAAGCTCTAGTCGGCATCTCGCATTGATCTTTCTATTGGATGTCCCCCGGGAAATCTGATGAGTAAATATTCAAGAGATGTAGTACACAAATAAGTTATTGTAACTGCAATTGTATTGTTTGTCTTTTCTCTTCATTTTTCAACATCAAGGCGTTGAAATGATTCATCATCAAGTGTTTTGCTCGATGTACTGTACAATGCTACACTGTACAATGTACAATGCTACACTGTACAATGCTCATGACAATGCTACTGTACAATGCTACACTGTACAATGCTACACTGTACAATGTACAATGCTACACTGTACAATGCTACACTGTACAATGCTATACTGTACAATGCTACACTGTACATGCTACACTGTACATGCTAAATTGTACAATGCTACACTGTACAATGCTACACTGTACAATGTACAATGCTAAAATGTACAATGCTAAACTGTACAATGCTAAACTGTACAATGCTACACTGTACAATGCTACACTGTACAATTCTACACTGTACAATTCTACACTGTACAATGCTACACTGTACAATGCTACACTGTACAATGCTGCTTGCAGTACAGTCTCGTACAGTAAATAGTAAGATCTATTTTTTAATTATGAAAGATTGCTAGATATGGAGGTCCATTTGAATATACAAAGAAGTTCACTACACTGACTTGCGCTTAAATGGAAAACACACCTTTTCTAGCATTCTTCATTGGATTCATTGAAAGCAAAGAATCGAGTGCCCTAGAAAGGATGTGTTTTCAATGAGCTCAAAGTATAATATAAAGATAGCTCATGAAAAAACAAGCTTCAGCATAAGTCTAGCTCGTAAAAAGCTTAAGCTTAAGCTTAAAAAGCTAAGCAAAGATTAGCAAAGACTAAATCTGAAATCTGGAAGCAAGCCTAATCTAAAGCTTTGCTAAAAATTCAACTATCGTATCCATACTAAAGTGCTCTTGACACCCAATCACTTAGCTTCTCCAAAAGTTATCCCACTTGTCATCATAAGTATCTAAATCCTAATTGAGACACACCCAATTTCACTCAAGTTACTCGTCGAGTAAATCTTTTGTTGAGTGTCCTTTCCTCTTTCCCTCAAACATTTGCAGGTGCACCCAATTACCCCGAAGAAGTGAAAGCTCTTCCTGACACCCAATCCCCTCTTTTCCTGCCCAAATCAACCCCAGTTCCCACTTATTCCCCACTTAGGTATCCCCCTCCTATTGTTCTCCTTATTGCCAGTCACTCCCCAATTCCAATCCACACCTCATTGCGTAATTACTCATTTGCACTTGTAAGCTGAGATAATAAACCACAATTTGGATAATCGAAAATTTGCATTATTGCCGGCTAATTACCGGAATTGGTACTCCATAGAGTGGATTGGATTCGTCGATAAGAATTGCAGAGATTTTTTTAAGCTTGAGTAAATATCGATCATTCTTCTACCGCACTTGACGCAACATAGGCCCTAGTTTTTGGGGTGTTTTTTTCTTTTGTCTGGGAGACGGGCTTACCCACTCATGACATTTGATGATGAATCACACTCCCCGGTGGACACGCAACAATCGATCTCTTTCTTGGATAGATGTATGGTTTTTGTGGTACATATTTTTTCAGTTGAACAGAGCCAAAGCTAGAGCCTATAACTTTCCTATTACTTTTCTAAAACTACCGTAATCTTGTCAACAATAGCTTAATTTTATTTGATTATGTGAGAGTTCATTATTTGAATTTTAGATGAGAATTAAAGCTTAGTTCTATTGCTCAAAAGTTTGGTCATCACATGGAAAAGCCGTTGGCCAATACTGTATGATTACCAAGCTTCTGAGTGACCGCATTTCATTGTTCATCGTTCCGCATGACCTCCACCGTTACGAAACTTCATGACTTGACAAAGAGCTTTGAGAAAATCCCCAAACCCACATTGACCTAAAAATTACGAAACGAAAGAACTCCCCGAGACAGATCCGGAAAGATCAAAAGAATTTTGTATCATTGTTCGCGCACCTGGGCCTTATTTGCTCACGTTTCACCGGTAACAGTATGTGGGTGTCAATCTGATAGAACGGATGTCTTATCCACTTGTCTTTTACAAGAAATGTTTACCTATCTTCTCAATATTTGTCTAATTCTCAATGAACATCCTGAGAAGATCAAGGGGGTGCCGATTGAAGAGAAGATCTTCAAAAGGAGATGTTCTTGGAGTGAATACAATAACGTGTGTTACTGGGGATATGTATATGAGCTAGGAATTGAAGTTCTCACTAAATATAAAGCTTTACAGTATCCACTTGCTGTTGGGGAATTTATTTAAGCCAGTTGAAGTAACAGATTTAGTTCACAGTACAGAGCTGGACTTTGTTACGATAACAATACGATAATACAATCAATTTCTTAATATAGTAACAGTATCATAGTTGTCTGCCTTAATGCAGTAATCCAAAGGCTTTCAGCTGCTAAATTACTCGGCTTACTAATGCAGTAATCCAAAGGCTTAGCTTACTTCGTAAGCTCCAACACTGAACTAGCTTCAAGGCCGCTCATAAAACTAACTAAACAAAAAAAAAAATCACGTTATAGATATGCGTATTTTCCCCATAAAGATTTTGAGGTGTTTTGAAGTGTTTCACTCTTGATTATGCAAGGTCATCGATCCCACTTCACGCCTCATTTCATTTCATCTCTCTGTGAAGAAGAGCCGACTTTGAACTTTTCGCCTCTTCAACCTTTCGAAGTATCTCCCGCAAGTGGCCCTTCAACCGTTTTTTTATCTCTTGATAGGGTAATAGGTGAAATACGGTAAATATGCAAATCTGTTGATGCATAGAAAAAATATTGTTAACATTGACCCATATTTTTATGAAACAAAGTGGGACAAAGTTTTACATATTCCTTTTCGAATCGTGTTTTCTAAAACTTCAAATCTTTCAAAAACTACCGTAATTTTGCCTACCATAAGCTGCTTCAAAATACCGTAATCTTTCATCTAAGCTATCTACTTTTGATCAGATTTTGTCAGGATTCGATCGGATGTTATAAAAAAGTAACTAGATTGGATAAAACTAACCGACTTATGGGATGATTATGGCATCCTTATTCAAGATTACGGCATCTATTCAAGATAGATTCAAGATTACGGTATCTTTCAAAAGTTGACAAATTTTAGAAAATGAATGGAACTCTACTGAGCATAACAAAACAAGCAACAATGTCTTCTCAAGGTTTACAGATCACCAGCTAGTCTATAATTAGACGACGATTAGAATTGATGACTGTAATCTGCTTGTCTGCATGATAGAGATCGTATTGTAAGACGATTTGGATCACAATTGACCCCTATTGAGTGACCTGAATGAGATCTCATTTCTTTTCCCCTTTCTCGAGAATCTCGTCAAGAGCCTCGATTGACTTGTAATTATTCCTTATCCGCATTCGCAGCTGTTCTTCACTCGTACCCGTAAATCCCCAGCTTGTCAGCTGTCAACACGTGGGTTTCTTGGGTAACAAAGAAATAACTGAACAGCGAGGGTAAGAACGAACTCTAAAGCAAGGAAGTCACAAAATTTTATATTAGACTACGCGACTGTACGGGGGAAGGGGCGTATTACAGGTATTACGGTAGCAATTATTTGCCGACTTTCGCATCAAAATCATTTCCATTTCCGTCTTTCTTTTCAAAGTTGAAAAAAACGTTTTTTTTGCTAAAATTTTGGCAATAAACACATGTGCTGCCGGTTAAAGTTTGGTATAAGTTTGTTCATGCTTGTTTGTTCATGCTAGTTTGTTCATGCACTAGTGTTTTTGAAAAAATAAGAGACACTTTATTCTCAGACTTCACAAATTTTATAAGGAGATTTTGTTAAAAAAGAGGGTGGAAATAAAAATTGCACCATAATGAAAAGAAGCTTTTTTTAGTATTTTGTTGAGTCTCCTTGCACTTTAATGAGTTTGTGTCGCCTTTTCAGCATATTTACAACATATTTCTCAAGTTTCAGCACATGAGACAACTCTCAGCTTTGATAAATCTTGTCCCAAACGCGAATTGCAATAAGCGAGCAATTCTCGTTTTACATCGGTTTCCTAATGTTCAATTGAAGTATAAACGGAAGAGAAAAGCTGTATTTGAAGAAGAAAAAAATTATTGGTGCAAAAGGACACGGAAAGATGCCCAAAACGGTACCCAGAAACCTTCACTTTCCAGTTCATCATCGATTCACTTTGAAAGTTTTGGGTCGCTATTCTACTGGAATAGCCGCCTAGGCTCCATATTGGTATGAATATAAGTAGACACTTAATCCTTTAATATTGCGGCATATCTGGACCCATCCGTGAATATTTCGATCCGAGCGAGAGGCTTGAATGGATTTGTGGCAGAGGCTTTTAGCACAAAACACTTTATCCATGGAACCTGGACTGTTGCGCAAATTTTCTTAATAGGTTTTGTATTTTGGTACTTTGTTCAATCACAGCGAGCCTATTTACGCCAAAAACATTGACCTTGAACTGCGCCGTTCACAGAATGCGTCTCCTAGAAGTGCCACGTGCTGACCCATATACCAAACTTTAACCGGCAGCACATTGCCAAAATTTTAGCAAAAAAAACGTTTTTTTTCCCAGGGTGCAATTTTTTTTTCACGACTATACATGTATCTATCTAATTTTGCTGTATCCTGAAAACCCATAAGCTAAGTGTACATACAGACTTTATAGATGGAGCATAAACTCACATATACCTGAAATCCCTTGAAAAATTTTCTGAGATCACTGGTGGTCTAACGGTCGTCAAAGCTAAGTTAAAACTTTAAAGTTGCTTAAATTTTTTTAAAAACCCCTCTCACATCCTTTCCCAGGCCTATTTAATACACTCCACTACTCCCTCCTTCAGAAGTTCTTATGTTGCACTGAATTTTATTCGACAATTTACTTTCTTGTTTGTAATCGGTAACAATTTTTGATTTTAGCAGCGATGACGACTGAAAACACAGCCACCGTTGTTGAGGGTAAGCCAGCCGAGCATTTGAAGCCGGAGGACGCTACGAAGCAAGATGTGGAGGGATCGGTTGGAGAGAGAGGATTTTCTCTTTACGTAATTTTTTATTCTAGGCTAAACCTGTGCAAGAGGCCGTTTCCAAGGGCGAGAAAGCGCACGAAGGCGAACAGAGAAGTGGTGACAAAGAGGTATTGGTTTTAAGATTTTAAAATTTTAAAATTATCTTGTGGTTGATTTGTGTGCTAGCATCTAAAAATGCCAGTCTACTAACTGAGTTAGTATGTTTTAATCATATTACACTAAATAATCTCTTTTGTTTAGGTTGTTGCTCAGGAGGACTCTACGCCCAAGGCCAAGGATTCAAATGAGAAGCACGAGGCAGACGCCGAAAAGGAGGGCGGTGAAGTAAGAACATTTATTTTGGCCTTTAATAATTAATCGTTTAGTGCTCTGATGGCAAGGACGAGAAGGTCCCTGAAGCTGAGGCTGAAGAGGCTGGTGCACCAAAGACCGACGTCAGCATGGTTAGTGGATCTTGTTTATGAATGTGTAATTTCTTTCTTAAGGTTTCTGGCGACAAGGAGAATGCCGGTCAAGAAGCTGACGACAAGGAGAATGAGCGCAAGCGGGCCGATGCTGAGGATCAAACCGGCGAAGAAGAGGGCAGCGCCGTCAAGAAGCTTAAGGTCGACGAACCGTCTGATGGACAACCTGCACAACAAGTTCAATCCGCTGGAGGCGACGCTTAAATTACCACCTAACTTTTTCAAGTTCGTTGATGCCTTGTTAGTTATTGTTTACTATGTTGATCTTTAAATGCTTGAACTAATTTTCCGTATTTTCAATAAAACTTTCATGTATACTTCCCAAGGGAAGCAATGAAAAATGTCATCTAAGCAACTGAAAAATACCTTCGAAAGGGGCGAGGGACGGTTGAAGTATTGACTCAGGAATTTCAGGTGAAGACGTTTCTTGAGCTTTGTTTGTGGCCATGGAGCTTTGAGTGTTTATTTTTTCCACAGAATGGTTGAATTCGACTTTGAGCAGCATGAAAGCTCTCGATTTTCCGTTTATTTTTACAGACAACTTGCTTTTCGCAATCGGTTTTGTCCGCCAAATTCCTGTGAACACTCTTTTATCGTGCTTGTTTGTCACTCTTCCAACATGAATATGTAAAAGGGGATGGACTTTAGAGCTGATGTAGCATTTCCTTTACTCTTTGTATTCAGTGTTCAAAGTCAATCTTTTATTTTCAGGGAATGGAACGTCTCTATCACGAGACGAACAATCTGCTTCAGCAAGTCTACCCGAATTTGAGTCGTCTCGAGCGAGCGAAGGACCAAAATGAAGCCGAATTCGAGATGCAATCACTTCAGTCGCAGCTCAGGGAAATCGACACGAACTGCGATCGATTGGATATGTTCGTCAGTAAGGAGATCCCGCAAAAGAGGCCGACCGCAAAGATGAAAGTCGACCAACTGAAAGCCGATTGCCAGCGAACGCACATGGCGCTGAATGCTATGTACGCGAAATTGATGACGCGATGGAAAGTGGTGGCCGAACGAGAAGAATTGTTAAAGCAACGCATCGTTAGGAGTGGCGATAGCACGGCTGTGACGATGAACGATCACGAGTTATTGGTGAGCATATTTAAATTTTCAAATATTCGAAAATGGCAAGACTTTACAACCTTGGAGAGTTCAAATTTTTGGTGTAGTACAATAAAAGTAGTTGGTAGTTAAAGTAAAAAATGCGTATGAGAGACAAGACTAATATTTTTTCGTTTTAGGTCAACGATCGTCTACAGCATTCCCACCGCGGTGTCGATGATCTTTTAAATCAAGGAGTCGAAGTTTTGTCCTCACTTCGTAATCAACATCTCAACCTTCGAGGCGTTCGTCGAAAAATGTTCGATATTGGAGCACAACTGGGACTATCCGATACAACGATGCGAATGATCGAGAAACGGACAAAAGAAGACTGGCACATCTTCCTCATTCTCTCAATTCTATTTTGCATTTTCATGTACGCCTTCTATCGTTTCTGGAAAGGATAAGCGCAATAACCTCAAAATTGTTACTCAATTCGTCTAGCCATTGTCCAGCAAAGATTTTATGAGATACTAGTTTTTATATGCTTTTGTGTGCTACTTTTGGTTCTAATGGGTAATTTTATGTGATTTACTTGGTAACAGTAGTTTATTCCGTATTTATTAGTACTTTTTTTGTGAACCAATGTGATCGGCTTTCGTTGTTGTTTCAACTCTTTGAACTTGACATTTGTGCATAAATCAATTATTTATTTTACAGGAATGAGCACAAGCGGTGGCGCTGAAGATGAAAACGCGAAAGTCATCGAGACGTGCCTCACCGAGCTTTCGGCCGCCGATTTTGATGTGGTGCGGATGGCGTTGTCAGATGGAATCTCGTCGGCAATGGAAGATTATTCAGGTATGTTTACGGAAAAAGAAAAGTTGTGCTTTAAGAATAGGTAGCAATTTTTGGTTGTTTTTCCATTACCGGCTAAAGAATAAATTTAGAAAACATCAAATCAGAGTTGACGAAAGCGCACCGAACCGTCGTTCAGGAGTGCATCGAAAATGCGGACAAATTGACGAGCCTCCATTCAGCCATAATTCATTGCGATCAAATCTTTGAGGTAAAAGATTTGCTTTAAATAAAATAGTCATGGTTTATTTTAGAATTTGGAACAAGTACTACGAGGTTTTCAACGGGATCTCGGCTCAATTAGCGAGGACATGAAAAATCTTCAGGTAATTTTCCCAAGGAAAGACACAAATCTGACTTTAATCTTAGAAACAATCTGCTTCGATCAATTGCGAATTAGACAATCGACAAAAAGTGCGCGGCGAGTTGAGCCAATTTGTCGATGACATCGTGGTTTCCCAACAGATGATAAAGTACATTTTGTTTGCTCGTTATGATATAGAAATACTTTAGAGTAGTCTTAATTTCAATCTTTGATATATTTTTTTAAATTTAGAGTCATTGTCGATTTTGATGCTAGCGACCGGACGTTTCTAGAACATCTTCACGAGTTGCATCGGAAAATCCAATTTGTCAAGTCACAAGAAAACAAGGTTGCAAATTGTTGGTTGAAGTTTTTACTCATTTTCTTTTTAGGAAGCTCGGGCGATTGAGGATGTTGAACCAATTTTGGAAGGACTCAAAATAAAGGTGCGTCCAACTTTTCAAATGAAATAATTATGGATTTTTAGGCTTTGGAAAAGTGTCGCGAATGGATCATCATCAAAATCGGACAATTTAGAAAGCCGCTATCAAATTATCAAGTAACGATAAAGTTTAATCTTTAGTTGAAAAAAGTTTTTAGGTACCACAACATCAAATGCTAAAATCTCGGTTCTTTTACGAGTTCTTGATTCATCACGATGCAGTTGTGGCGGCTGAAGTTCAGGTTTTACTTGGAAAAAAATAAATTTTATTTAAAGTTTTCAGGATGAATACGTCGATACGGTTGGCAAGATGTTCTTCTCCTACTTCAAAGTGTACTCATCACGGCTTTTTAAGCTAATGGTTAGTTTGCGATGAATCTGTCCTCTACTTTGTAAGTGTTTAATTAAAGATGGGCGATATTGCGACAAAAGATGATCTACTCGGAGCCGAAGATGTCACCAAATCTTCAACTATTGGAAGCCTTTTTGGAGCAAAGCCACAGGTAATGCTATTTGGATTATTTTATCAAGACCGGTGTCAACCCATTGCTCAAATTTAGGTTAGAAATCGCGCCACCGTCTTTTCATTGGGTCAACGTCAAAATTTGCTCACCGACGACTTCTTGGCACCGTTGATTATTCCACATGCAGCTAAAGAGGCTAACGAAAAGGTTTTATTTGGCAAACTATTTTTCTATGTGTGTTGTTTAGTTCCAATTTGAATCACTCTTTCGCTCCATTCACTTTGCGCTTGTCGATCACTGTAGCCACGAATTTCTCTTTCTCACCGATTTCTTCCTTGTCTCTGGGCCAATAGCAGTGGAATTACACAAACGGGTTGGTTATTGTGCTTGCTTAACGAATTGTATGCATTTTTTAGGTGATGAGCCGAGCGCTGACGCAACTTTTGCGATCTTGGGACGAAAAGATTTCAATCAACTACGACGCGATATCGCTCTACTTGTGTATCTGCCTCACTGGAAAGTTTAAGCAACTTCTTGTGGATCGTGGAATTCCGAATATTAGCTGGTAAGCACTTACTTTCTGAATTAGCAATTTAATTCTTTTGCAAAATTTTAGATCTAGGAGAAAGTCGCGAATTTTTTAAGGAACACGAATTTATATTTCTCCAATTAGAATTCTTTTTTAGGTACTGGGAAGAAATTTCAAATCGCTTGTGGCAGCGGTTCGATCAGGTGATGAATCTGCACAATGACAGTGTGAAGACGTTAGATGTTCGAAAAATGCAACCACCACCGGATACACGGCCCAATTATGTTGGTGTTAGCTCATTAAAGTTGTATGAGGTCTTGTTTGTTTAGATTGTTCGCAGATATGCGGAGTTGACGTGTGCGCTACTTGTTATTACAGAACTTGGTGGACCCGAGGTAATTCTTAATGTGTTAAATAGCATAATTTTGTTTTTAGGCTAGCAAGAAGTTTGACAGCATTTTGGAATCAAACGAAGACGCGGTCGAGCAACTGATTGGACGAATGGCCAACATCAACAAGAGCCCACGAGATCGATTTGTTTGCTTCATCAACAACTACGATTTGATACTGGGAATCCTTGATGTAAGTTGCTAGTATTTGGCCCTTGAACTCAAATTAGAAATTTTAAACGCTATTTTAGGAACGTGTCGCGATTGATACACGAATTCGAACGATCATCCATGAACTCGACCAAAAGGCGATTAATGAGTTTGTTGAGGTAATCTTTATGACTTAGAATAATTACGAGTTGACTTTCATTTTTAGATAAGCCTCGCTCCATATTTCTCCGATTTGATTTCATTCGTCAATGACTGCGAACCACTGATTGAACAACAAGCTTCCCAACTATTGGTTAGATACAATGGTGAGTTTCAAGAAAGACCCCATAACTATTGTTTCTTTAGAAAAGCTAACACTGATCATCAAACACTTTGTGCAAACGTGGAAAAAGTCGATAGATGCTATAAACGGGGACATCGTCAAGTCGTTCACCAACTTCAAAAACGGGACTACAATTTTGCAGGTTTTGCTTGGCCTAATAAATTGTTCAGTTTAATGCTAACGCATGATCGCTTAATTTATTCAATTTCTTTAGGCTGCCTTCACACAACTTATCTCGGTATATCAACGCTTTGTCAAGGTGACATCACATGACGCCTTCCGCAACTTGCCTGCAAAGAATGAAATCGTCAATATTCATCACATCATGATTGAGCTCAAGAAGTACAAACCGGTATTCTAATTTGTCGTTGTTTTCATTGCTTTAACTTTGTCTTTCATTATGATAGTTTTTCATTTCCCTTCCGCTTATTTTGGTTGTGTCATAGCATAGTCTCTTGTGTGATCTCACTTTGTGATATTTCGTACATAATATGTCTGGCTAATAAAGCTTTATAAACTTTATTAAGGCACAAATATAATTTTGACCTAAATCATAGAGATTTCTCAGCTTCACGCATCGATTCCTGAAGAGCCATGACGAATCGGTGAATATCAGTAAAGTTGTTGTATAAATGAACGGGTGTGGCTCGGATAATGTAGGGATATCGCTTGTCAACCTGAAAGATTTGCAGGATGGATTCGGTCAATAAGTGGATTACTGTAGAGTTAGCATGCACGATACACACTTACCGCAACTCCTCTTCTCGTAAGCTCTTTATAGATCACATCAATACTGACATTGAACTTTAACGATAACTGAATATTCATTTGTATGTTTTCGATGTTTTATAGTCTACTTGACATCCTCTCTCGCAAAAGTTCTTTGGTGTAATTGAACGACACCAGATTTTCGATTTCCGGTGTGGTGAATCCTCGCCACAGTAGTACTAAATTGAGTTCTACTTGAAATTCAACTCCAACTCTCACTTTCAATAAATACTCCAAGTACCCAGTCAAATAAAAGGATTTGCTTCGGAGTTGTTCCATAGTAACAGATTTGAAAACCTAAAATCGATTCAGATTTTTTTCTTGACTTCATTGTCTTACTTCAAGCATTCCAAGTACTGGAACCACCAGAAAAACCGGAGGATTGCTGATTCGATACCCGGCAGCACCATCGTCAAGATCAAGCTCTGAAATTATTGAAGCTGAAATCGCAAAACCTATTAAACCCTTACGATTATCCATATGAAATCGTGTCTTCATTCTATGACTCCACCATCCCAACATTCGATCTCTTTTATCGTACTTGAATCGCTCATGCACAAATGCTCCCGCCAATCCCCCAGCACAAGTGTTGAAGTATCTGGAAAGAGCTTCGCACTGTATTTCAATTCTATTTTTGTAGTTAAACATTGTTTTTTATTTCGATTAGCTCACTTGTATGAACACCAAGCCGCAAAATCGACATCCCAATGGTGAAGTTCAAGAGGAACATTACCAAATGCGTGCGCTAAATCCCATCCAACTAGACAACCCTAAAATATTCTTCTTGTCTTCTTGCCTAGTTCTTTCCCCACCTTTTCATGCCCCTTCTTTGTAATCGTCGGAATATCGAAGAGCTGTCCTGTATAATATTGAACACCCGAGAAGAAAATGATCGCAATTTCGTCTCCATTTTTGTCGATATAGTCGAGAATGTCTTCAGTGCGATAGGTTTCTTCGCCTTCTCGAGGTTCAAAACATATCTGGAAAGCAAAGATTGATGGATCTGCTATGGTAAGCTGGATCTGCTATAGTAAGCTGGATCTGCTATAGTAAGCTAGATCTGCTATAGTAAGCTGGATCTGCTGTAGTAAGCTGGATCTGCTATAGTAAGCTTACCATTGACTCTTCAACGCTTCTCCCATGAAGTCGAATCTGAGACTCAATCGCGTAGTGATCCGATGGAAAAGCTTTTGACTCCAGAAGAATCTTGTGACGTTTATCGGTTGGTTTGTAAAAAGCGGTCTGAAAATGAAAACTATGTCAACTATTGCAGAAATTACAAGATTTCAAGAATTTTGATGTTAGTGATCGTTTCAGCTTTGCCATGGTTCCTTGTGTAAGATTCACATTAGACAAACCAATAGAACATGCACATTCACAGTCAACCCGTTCATCAGCGCCACTTCTTCGGATTTCCCGCCAACAAGCTTCGCCACTCCATCCAATGCGCATTCATCTCCATGAGCCCAAGGAATCGGCTCGGATAAGTGACCGTGAACTCCACTAAACTTTGGTTTTTTACTTGTTTAGCTTCAAAAAACCTTTATTTGGATCTCACTCACTGTTCTGCCCATTTTGTAAGTTGTTCATCCATCAACGCTCGTGTTGCTTTGGGCATTAAACCGAGACTATTTCCGCACATGTAAATGCATTCCTCGTCTGGGTTCGCGAGACTCAGATCAACTGAATCAAGGTCATCAATTTTGAGAACTTGAAAACAAACCATGCGGAAATTTCCCGTTCTTTGGATAGGCAAATTGCTCGCGGACGTGTTTCAGAGAGCATGAATCGGAGAGAATATCGGCTAAAACCCTTGACGTTGGCTCGGTTTCGTGTTTCTTCGCCTCTCCATTCAACCAATCGTTTATTCGTTGTTGAGTGTCCGTGCAATCATCTGACATTCTATATTTCATTCAGATGTTATTGAAAGATAAAGGAATACAAAAACAAATATCATCGATTTTCTCACAGAAAAGAAAAGACAAAGAGTTCTTTAAGCTTCAGCTCTTTCAAATTCTCAATGACAAAAGAGTCGACTGAAAAAAACAAGAAAAATGCTAGAATTTTGCCAATAATCTTCTCTAAAAGTCATCTATTTTAGAAAATTACCGTCATCAAGCTGTTAGTTTACATTCAATCAGCCAATTCAATATCATTTGATGAGAAATCACAGAGCTCAATCAATAACATCAAAATTTAGTTGATTAAATGTAAACTAACAGCTTGATTACGGTAGTTTTGTAAAATGCCTTTTAAAAAGACAGGAAGAACACTATTCAATAAGGAATCAAGATATCTACTAAATGAAGTAACACAAGTAAAACCTTCTCTAGTAAAGTAAGAGTAAAGTAAATCTTCTCTAGTAAAATCTTCTATTTAAAAACAATGTGGATTCGAATTAAATATAAGTTAGACTTAATAGCGAATCATTTTTCATCGATTGATTCATGTTAACAAGAAAAACTTATTCAAAAAAAAGCCAAAAAAGAAAGATTGATCCAGTAAAATAAAGTTATTTGAAAATCAAACAAAATCTTGAACATTTCCCCCACTCAACCACTTGTCATTGATTGTATATCGGCAACAACAAAGCCAACAAAGCCGTTGGGCTCATCAATTACACAACCACTCGAAAAGATCTGTTTTATGAGCACTTTTGAGTACAATTATCTTAGTGGCTTTGGGAGACAATCGATCAAAAAACAATATCGTCAACGATTTCAAATTCAAATTTTGTCATAAGAAATTGTGCAAAATAAACAGATTTGTAAAGAAACTGTCGAAAAAAACGAAAAAAACTATGCATCCAATTTTTTTTGCAAAAGATTCGACAAGAGATAAGCGATAACAACATTTTTCTGGAATTGGGGAAATGGGGATTAGCCGAGATGAGCAAATGGATAGAAAAAAACAATTTTGGAAAAGATAGCTGCTAAAAAAGGCAAACAAATCCTTTCTAGCGCATTGAATTCTCAATTTTCTTTAACGATTTTGGTGCTGTTAAAATAAAGAAAGGATGCGTTTACGCTAGGAAAAAAAGTACAAGCTAGGAATGGACTAGAGTGTGTTCCTCGCGAGTAAGTAATTACTCGAGTAAAATAGCATGAGTAATTGTCGAGTAATGCGTTTTCTAAAAAGTGCGCCTGCGCGAAAAAAATATAAAAGTAATTTCTTGCGCAGGTTTCGGGAGTGGGACAAATGCGACCTTTTTTTTGCGCACCCGGACATTTGCGCACCTTGCCCATTAGCGCACCTTTTTCGCGTTTTAAAAAAGGCTCTAAAAAGCTAATATTAACCAATTTCTATTCCAAAAGTTATTTTTCCAGGCAATTTTATGGCGTAGAATCGAAATTTTGACATATCAGAGCTTGTGGAAACAAACGGACGGAGTTATACAAAGAGAAAATCGACAATTTTCTGTAATTTGATCTAGCCGTTTTGTCTTTCAAATTGGTCTTTCAAATTGGTTCCACACGCTCTGTTATGTCAAAATTTGAATTCGACACCCTCAAATTACCTAGAAAAACAACATGGAACCGTATTGGAACCGTATTAGATCAAAAAAAGAACCGTATTAGATCAAAAAATTGTCGATTTTTCTCTTTGTATAACTCCGTCCGTTTGTTTCCACAAGCTCTGATATGTCAAAATTTCGATTCTACGCCCTAAAATTACCTAGAAAAACAGCTTTTGGAATAGAAATTGGTTAATATTAGCTTTTTAGAGCTTTTTAAAACGCGAAAAAAGGTGCGCTAATGGGCAAGGTGCGGAAAAAAAGGTCGCATTTGTCCCACTCCCCAGGTTTCTCAAAAAAAAAATCATTTCTTACATTGGAAAGGAATTCCCCACCAAATCAGTTAAACGGCTGAGTATCTTTAAAAAGTGTCGTATATAATGCGGGGCTCGTGATTTTTGCGTTATTTTTTTGCGATGATTTTTGCTAAAAGTACGGTAATTTTTTCCCAATTATGGGTTTTAAAAAACGCACTACTCGCGAGGAACACACTCTAGAATAGACGCTGCAATTCTAGTGAGCTTAAAATGAAATCCAGATCAAGCTATTGGTTTAATGACAATTGGATGTTTAAAAACTTTCCCATGAAAGAACAGAACAAACTTGTGATTATTATATGTAACTATATCACTGCCGCAAAAAGTGTGATCAAGTCACGTGATCAGAAAAAATAAGAGAAAAGTTTCGAATCATCGTTTCATCGCGGAGTGTAATTAATCGTCGAAAAAAGGTCGCGCGAAAAATCGCACTCAGTCATTTGATGGATGGAAAAAATGTGATAAGAGGATTTTTAGAGAAATCGACGAATGATCTGATCTGGAAAAAGATGGCTGAATGGAAAGGAGAGATCAGTCTTCACTAGATCTTTCTCTTGAAATCTTAATCTAAATGAAAAGAGATCTACTATTTTGGATTCAAAATGATTGGCTCAATGTAGGTTTGCCAATTTTCCAAGTTGTGAATGAAGATATGAGAGAGATTTGAGTGCTTGGAACTAGCCGTTTCATCAAAACATTAATCCATTAAAAAGATCTGTAAAAGTTATACTGTTTTATAATGCCTTTTTCTTCTTCCACTTCTTCCTCCAGTCCCGTTCAACCAAAAATAGAAAATTTAAAACATCTTTTAGTGTACATCAAAGGAGTTTGAAAGAATGAAACTTTAGTTTTCCCTGGAGTTTCCCTTTTGCCTTTAGTTAAAGGATCTTTACCGATAACTTTTACCAAATTTTTTATTCCAGTTTATCACATTCGAAAACGAGCACTTTGCAAAAGAGACGATAATGGATGGATATGCTGAGAGACAAAGAGAAAAAAACTATTCGAGCTACCAGTAATAAAAAAAATGACAAATGATTGAGATTTGGTAAAGAGAAACATGTAGAATTGAACAGGAAAGTCGCAAAATTTCTCAAAAACGAGCAAAATTGATTCGTCGGGGTTGATGGGGTCCCGAGTAGCTGTATGAAGAGGGTAGACGGCGGGGGAGAAGCCTGGAAATTGATATATTTGGTTCTGATTGGTCAATGATATCTAAGAAGTATTCAAGTACTTGATCTTAGCTAGATTTATACTAGACTTGCTTCCCGGGTTGACTTTCGAAAAGCTTTCTTTCCCAGTTCCAGTACCAGAAAGATGTTTACATATTAGCATACTCCAGCACAAACCAATTTCATCACTTACCCGTATTTTCGTTTCCCGTTTTCCTCATCAAAACCCCGACGCATCGAAGTAATCACTGTGGTCACCTAAAGACCAATTTTTTTGCCTCATCAAATCATAGATCTCTTGAAATTAGACATGAACACTATAAACAATAAAAATAGCGAACTGTCACACTACAAACGCTTTTAACTTGCTTCAAATCTGCCTGATTGACATGATCTATAGCTCAAAAAATAGAGAATCTCAAAAGCTTTCGAATAAACTAAAGCACACTCAAAAATATAAATGCTAAAGAAGGTTGATTTGTAGTCCTAACTCGAAACGGACCGTACTCGCGTGTAGTCGAAGCAAACGAGGCAGGCTACAAATCATTGTAACCTTCTTTAGCATTGATATTTTTGAGTGTGCTTTAGTCCATTCGAAAGTTCTTGAGATTCTCTATTTTTTGAGCTATAGATCATGTCAATCCGAAAGATTAGAAGCAAATTAGAAGCATTTGTAGTTTGCCATCCTATCCATTGCTACCAAACTAACCAAAGTCCTCCAAGCACTCAATGTGAGCCTCTGCTTATGTGCTTCCCATTCCACAGCTGCTTGTGTCATACATTCAGCAAAAGTCTCCCAATAGATTGGATGGAAACCTCTTCCTTGGAAAGCAACATGCCGACGACCGAGATTCTAAAGTTATTTAAATGTTTTTACTTGCTTTTGAACTGATTACAGTAATTTATAATCTTAGCTTCTTCCTCCAACTATACTCGTATCAAAAGGAGTAAGTTTAATCAACAAAAGCTTCTCCAAATCCTTCACTAGAATCTTTTACGAATTCTTAACTGGATAGTCGATGACAATAATTTTCAAATGTTCTTTAATCCATTAATCACCTCAAAATGCTGCTCGAGTTTATCCGGAAATTCGATATTTTTAATCACGTAGTCGAAAGTTCGAATGAATACCTGAAAAGGCGTTCATTATAATCCAGGAATTCTGTCAACACCATCAAGATCTTTGAGCCAATATAGAAAAGTATAAATATTTAAAACTGACTAGTGCGTGTTGTCGAAATCGTGGATCATATTTGAGTCGTCCCTGGGGAATCTTCTCGAGTCCAAAAATTGGTTTAATACTAAATTTTTGTTTTCATTCTTTCCTTTAATAATTTTTTTGTGTTTTAAAAAGACATACTCTGGCTGTGCTGTTAACACCATCAAGAAGATCTTTGAGCCAACGTGTTCAGGTCCCGTCTGAAATTTTAACTCATGAGCCAACTTGTGGCATAGTTTGCTATATTTTTATGATTATACTAGACTTTAAAAAACTCACAAAAGTTTTTCCTTACCTTTTTACACTTTTTCCAACTGTGTTCTAACAATATTCGTTCTCGCCTTGTCAAAAAGTGAGTCTGTTTTTCAACCATCAATGGTCGTGAAAGAGCTGATTCATAGCTTGTCGATTTCAGTGACAATGCTTGAATGTTCGGCTCGACTTCGGTTGGGTCTCTGAAACAAAAGAACATTTTAAAACAACTATTGTATAAATGTTTTTGATTCCAATATTCACCCATCACTTCTTGCATCCACTCCAGAATCAACACTTCCTTCCATGTAGCTGCACGAGGGACTTTGTGACATTGTACACTCAATACCACACTCATCCTCACGGATTTTTGGAGGTCGGACTAGAAATGATTGCTTTGAGAGTTTTTCAAGAGTCATAGCTGTTTCTCAGGGTTATTTCAAAGCCAATTTTCTAAGGTTCTAGTCTTGTCTGACCCGAAAGAAGTCTATAATTGTAAGTAATCTTGATTCTAGATAGGGCCTAAGCTTGCCCAAAATCTTGGCCAGATCCTGATCAAGTCCAGGTTTACGGTTTTAGCCTCCAGATGAAACATGTGTGAATCAAACATTTTCTTGACAGCTTTGTTAAACTTATCCTTTACTTTTATATCTAAATTACTTCAAGCATTTCTTGATACTTTATTTTTATAAATTCTATAAGCTATTTGCCTACTCAATTCTCTTATATACATGATGATTGTAAAGTTTTCCCTTTCTTTTCACTAATGCTTTGAATGTTCATTGAATGTGAGAGTCTCTAATGACGGAAAGCCGAAAATTCCCATGAATTCTTAATGAATCTCTCTCTTTTTACATAAAAAAAACATGGTCATCATTTTTGGTCATTGAAAGAAGAATAATGAATTGATATGTTTTACGGTAAGCGTTTTTCTTAGCAAGCAGCAAGCAAGTAAGTTGAGTTTAAAAATCGGGGGTAGGCTAATTTCCGCCATTTTATTTGCGCAACAGGGTCATTTGCGCAACTAGGTCGTTTGCGCAACTCGCCATAACTTTCTTCGAAGTGGGCCAATCTTTATGATGTTGGTTTCATTTTGTTGCACTTATTGAGATCTACAAAATGAAACCAAAAACATAAAGATTGTGTCACTTAGAAAAAAAGTTATGGCGAGTTGCGCAAACGACCTAGTTGCGCAAATAAAATGGTGGAAATTAGCCTACCCCAAAAATCGCCAATGTCTGTGAGTTGAACAGCTAGGTAAGTTCACAAATTGGTAGTAAGCTGTATTTCTTAGTATCCTTCTTGTATTAGCCAAAAGAAAATTCAAACCCTATCAACTGAATATCTTTTAGCTAAAGATATAATAATTTAAAATCCTGGACTATTCCGATAACTGCAAAAGGTCTAACTGCAAGCATGGTCTGTGGACAGAATGCCACGTTTAGGAAACAAGTTATATTTCATAATTTGTACTCAAACATTGATTTCTTGTTACATCCATCATTTAGCAAACAGAATTTGTTTTCAACACCCAACCTTTTCTCTTGACGTTTGGCCTCTCGATTTTGTACCTCGTTTCGGCGAGTGTCGGCTTGACTCGTTTACTCTGATCGGCGCCCATTTCACTAAAGCGGAAAAGGAATTGAAAGAATTTATGAATAAAGATTACATGAAAATCAAATTTGCCATTGAAAGGCAAGAAATGCGAAAATTAGGTAATGGGATTCGAAAGGAAATCAAGATCACAAAGATTTTTGAATGTCTCATACAAAGACTATCTGTCATGAACAGGGAATTTGTTTGAATTCTATTTTTGAAGGATTATATTAAAAAGAGAACTTGTCATCTACAGAAATCGAGTTCTAGTTTTTCAAACAACTCTGGGATTGACAGTTGGAGTGAACGGTGAGTTAAATCAAGCCACTGGATTTCAGTTTCAAGAGATGAAAACAGACAAAAGTTAGCTGAAAAATTGAAAGCCAAAGATTCTCAGAATACTTTTAGCAACAGGTTTTAAGAATAGCCATAATCTGGAAAATATTCTTAAGTTGATGCGAGTTAAACTTGAAAATGGTTCACTGGCTCAATGTTGAGACTTTTATAGATTCTAATATGAAGAAATAAATTTTAAAACGTTTTAAATAGCTCATAGATATTATATAATGGTTTATAAATCCAATCCTCATTCCACAAGTGTCCCATAATCTTTAGTCGGTAAAGTTCGGGGAAATGAGATCCCTCTGCAGACTGTAAAGCAATTTTCCGGGCACTTTTTTATAAATGAAATAGAATTGAGAAGTGAATTCTGCGAAAGAAAGAGAAATAGGGAAAGAAATGGAGTAGAAGAGGGAGTGGAAGGGAAGAGGAAGGGGAAGGGGAAGGAGAAGGGGAAGGAGAAGGGAAGGGGTGTTCGTGCACATGTGGATATGGCAGATAGAACTGAGGCTGTCCCGAGGGAGATCCATCCCTCAGCCTCCACCCTTCACTCCTTCATCCATCCATTCTCCCTTTTCTATATCCATCTCTATATATTATATAGGCTTGATGAAAGCAAACTGGATTCATAGAACGAGCAACTAAGATTACAGGCTAATCGTAGCTATTGGTTGCTAGTACGTTGACAAATTAGGTTAAGCAAACAGCAAAGTGGGCCTTAACATTTAAAGCAAACTATTCTACTAAAGTTTTCTCTAAAATAAGCTAAACCAGCTTCTGGCTTTGTCGAGGTGAATACAGTCATAGTCCTACATCCTCGCGCTGACTTTGGATTGTTCTATACTTGGGGAGAAAGCTTCTAGAATTTCATAAAAGCCTTGACAGCGACAAGAAGATCTTAAACTTAATTTAGTTGCCTCTAGCATTCAAGTTTCCCATAATCCTTAGATATTTGGCGTTTCAAAAACTTTCCTCGATTTGAAATCGTTGCTGCTTTCGATTTGGAATTTGAGAGCTATTTGGAATTTAATAAAATCATTTTTTCCAATGATCTTTGAGGATTTGATGAAATATCGCTGAAAACACCACCATCCATAAATCTTTTGAGATGGCCATGTCGGGAAAGGAAATGTGGTTGTTATTGAATTTCGACCGGAAGACAACCTCAGGGAAAACAAAGTTCAAATTTTCAAAAGTAAGGCAAGAAACATCAGCAGCACTTATGATACAAAATTTAATAAGAATCCCAATTTTTTTGAGTCCTACTTAAGACCAATCAAAGCTTTGACTTGAGAAACTTCTATCAAATATTCTAATTGAGATTTGTGAATATGAATTTTGGTCCAGAGTTTTTAAAATGCGAATAGTTAGTGAAAAGGTGCATTGAAACCACGATTTCTGCCAAGTTCTCTAAATTTGCATCGCAAAAAATCATGGCGCACTTCCGGCGATCCCTTTTTTTTCTTGACAACTAGTGAAATGACGGAGATCGAATGAAACACATTCAATGAGTTTTTAGACTTAACAGCTATTTTTATCAAGTGAAAAGCTATTTTTATTGAGGAATAGCTAGATTAGACAATCGAGAATGGAATCTTTGAAGGAAGTGAATGGATGAGTGAACGAAGAAGTGAACAACGAAATCGAACTGAATAGATGAACTCAGCTCTTCTCCGAATAGCCGCTAATGGAATTTGTGCTTGTGTGGGGGCCCTTCCCCTTCTTCTCATCCTCCCATTCAACAATCGGTCCCCACTTTTTGAGTATTCAAAGAAAAACAGAAATTGAGTGAAAGGATAAAGGAAGAGGAAAAGTGATGAGAATTTGAGTCTTGATTAGTCGATTTCCTTAAAGAGTAAGTAGATTCATGTCAGTTCCGGTTTAGCTACGACTTGCAAGGATTGGGCTATAAATTACAAGGGAATGGTCACATTGTCAGCACAAAGTTGAGGATTGGTCCTTTAGTGCAAGGGTTTACTGATTACATAATGTCAAAGGAAAACACGACCGCGAGATATCTGACAGGAAAATTGGCCTAAATTTCTGATTCGTTAAGGTGTTCAAGTAAATGCTACAAGTCCTCCTCTACTTCGCTAAGTTAATCCGCGTTTGTCTTCCAAAATCTAGAACAAGTGCTATTTGAGCCCTGTAATCTTACAACATTGTTTTGCTAACTGAAGTACTAAAGCGAAAGTCTACAAAGTAATTCAAAACCTTAAAACAAAACTCATATTGTCTAGAAAAAGCAAAAAAAATATGCTCAGCAGGTGAAAACTTTCCGCCGTGCAAAATTTGATTCCTTTGATTTGCGCCAAAATCTTTTAATTCAACAATTTGCGGATTAACGATGGATTTTGGTGAGTGGACGAAAAAAAAAGGATTTGAAAAAGAGAAGAAATAAAATGGAGTCGATTAGGCCAAAGAAGAAAAATACAAAGCATTTGTGAGGTCAAACAACGCGAGAAATGAAGAGGGAAATTCATTGAAAGAAATGGGGAACGCTGTTTGAAACGGAAAGAATAAAAAGAAGAAGCAGAAATAAAATTATAGTGAAAAGCAAAGCTTCAGTCATCAAAGCATCAAGGGTTTTCGTGAAATTGACTGGATAAACTGGAACTTCAAAGAAATTAACGTTTATGTTTCTACCATCATCGATCAAAAACACGATGTTATAATATGATTTCTGCGATATCGAGATATTAAGTTAATAGGCTTGCATAAATCTTTTGATTACTTAAAAAAAGAGAAAAAGCAGGGTGGGCTTGCGCAATTCGCCATAACTTTCTTCTGAGTGGGCCATTCCTTATGATTTTAGTGTCATTTTGCTGCTCTCAAGAGGAACAACAAAATAAAAATAATAAAATCATAAAGATCGATCCACTCAGAACAAAGTTATGGTTTAAAATCTGATTTTGATCAGATTTATTAAAGCTTCAAGAAGACTTAGGCACCCAGTCATCGTGACTACTACAAAACGCCACCTAAGTGTAGTAGCATCTGTTTTTTATTTCATGAATTATTTTTGGGCATTTAGTAAATTTCGTGACTTTTTAAACGTTCACCTTTTTGGTTCATGTTTTATGGTTTGGAAAGTTCATGTTGTGTGACCATTCACTTTTTATTAAGTTTTAGTGAGTTTTATTATGTGCAATTTTTTTTCAATAAGCTACCCTCAACTTTATAGTTTTATTTGCCGCAGCTTATTTGCGCGTGCTAAGTGTATAAGTAAGACATTGTTGCATGCTTTTAACTAGCAGCAATTTTAACTACTTTTGGGCGCAAATGCAATCCACTTTTAGGCTCTATTCTAAACATTCTTTTGAAATGTGTTTCTTTACTCAAGAATTTTATCTGCTTAATTATTTTCATCTTTAGTCGACGGTTAGCTCGTTTCTTTGCTGGCCAATTGCAAAAGATGGATCAAGGAAATGTCAAGGCGAGCGCTGGAGCTGCCATTCGAAGCCGTGAGTTTTTTTTTTGTTACATCTAACATTTCTATTTGCTGAGTAAGCCCTGATCTCCAGTTGCGTAGTTGTAAAATGTACGTAACTTGCCTAGATGACGTAGCTAAGTGTAGTACAAACTTGTGTTTTAAATTAAGCTAGAGTATAGTTTGCAAATATTTTAGAAAGTTTTGAACAATCTTTGTCAATGTTTTGTTGAGCTAGCTGAAGTATAACTGTTGCAGTGCGGCACGCTAGAAAATGAGGACAGGGGTGAAATACAAAACTAATCAAAACACCCAAAAATAGGTTCTCGACGGGCCAAGACAGAGGGAACGAATCGTGAGATGAAAGGCTTGTCTCGACGATTATCGCTTGGATCTAAGAGAACCGCCGTCGTTCAGATGTAGATATAGTTTTCACGTGCCCTTCTTAACTGTTATCAAATTATTATTTAGCATTTCAAGCCAAGTTCAATCTGCACGCCAAGCAGCTCGACAGTCACTGGATTCTTTCTCTACAGGCCCCTTATTCGAGGAGAATGATTTAGCACGCATTGAAGATGCTTTGTTTCAAGCTCATCTCACAGGTATGGTATGGCAGGTATTCGTCGTGCTAATGGCACTAGTTTTTTCGAGGTATTCATTTTAGGCAAATCGGCCGTTAAAGCTATTACTGACGATTTGAAAGAAATAGAAGGTGGACTACACGCAAATGACCTTGGGGGGAGACGTCGAAGTGCACGTTTAAGGGCTGCCAATCTTGGCCATCTAAGCGACAATGAAACAAAAAAAAAGATCAAAGATCTCGTGGCACAAATTGAGAAGAGGGAAGTAAGTGCCCTAATACATGGTAACTTACATTTACCATGGATTTAGCTTGATGAATTTTCCTCTCGGACTGGTTTGCCGGTAGAACTTGCTGATGCTGGTGAAAAAGATTACGCGTTCGACAATGGCAGCATCAACTATTTGCTTCACAACCAGGGACTCACTATATTTTTTAATTACTTAAAATACTAGATTGATTTCTAAGCTAAAAGTTACGAATAAATAGTGTTGTTCTCTCTGTAGGATATTTTATGGATATTTAACATGTGTCTTTTTTTAAAAAATTGAACGCAAAACTGTCGTTTTAGATGCCATGCGAAAATGTTGCTTCTCACTTTCCTGAGATTAAACGAGCTCAAATGGTTGATTGGATTTTCTGGATCTCTCGCCGCGTGGTCGAAATATCAGATGAATTATTTTTTTTGGCAGTACACCTGTTAGATAAAGCACTAGTGGTTAGTTTACGATATTTTTACCTAATATAAACTTTTAGGTTAGCAAAAACATTTCTGAAATGTCAGATGTGGAAAACCGCATTGTTAAGGTGGCAGCGGTGAAGATTGCTGGAAGATTCGAGTTTGGTCCTGAATATGAAGATGGAATGGTATAACTTATCATATTAGTTTTTCAAACAATTTTTTAGTGCGATCGTCTTAAGTCCGTTTGCATTGTTTGCAAATATAAACTACGGTGTCAAGAGGACAAATTTGGGGATTGGGGAACGCAGGTTGACCTTCCTTTTATCTTTTGTGGTGACTGGAAAATGTTTTAGCTTCTGAAATTTGTTGACTTTGTCATTTCACGCAAACACTTGTTACACTTTCTCCGTATTTTTTGGGTAAGCTTTTCTGATACTTTTGACACCTTTTTGAAAGTATGTTTTTAGAGATTGATGGGTGATGTCATGAGTGAAACTGAGAAAGAAAATGGATGGGTGACGGTGAAAGGATTGGCATATATCGCAATGGCCCAAGCACCTCTGATGAATAACAAACCTTCACTTGTTGCTGCTGCCATTATGCGGATAGCTCTTCACCTGTTTTTTAATCGTGGTCAACTACCGGAGGATAAAGTTTGTTTTTCTAAAGAAGTAGTAGTAAGTGAGTTTATACAGGTTCTCGAAGTCATCTCGAGCCTTCTACATGAAGAAAGTCAATACGTGCCGATCGCCACAAAGCTTTTAGATTGGGTTTTGTCTGGGAAGATGACATCTATTCCAAAGGTAAGTTATTTTAATTATGGATTTTAATTACTTAGAGTTTGTAGATCATTCGTGTGTTTGAAGCCAATCAATATCATCCCAGTAAACAAGAGCTAGAAATTATTGCCCATGTATTAAAGAATTACAGTAATTTTTTGGGTAGATTTTTGCGTAGAGACTAACACTTCGATAACTTTTGTAAATTAATCTAGCATTTGTGAAAAAAAGGTTGTATTTATTTTATGACATTTTATTCTATACTACCGTAAATACCTTAATAGAACGCCCCTTGCGTAGTCTAAATATACATTCAAACAAAATATCAGCGCATATCTATGATCGTGTGTTTGAGTGTGCATTTAGACTACGCAACGCTCCTATAGGGAGCGTTCTATTAAAGCATTTACGATCCTGTGTGTGCATTTGAAAATTTGTCTGTGGCATGCGTTTAAACATTTGTGACATGTTTTATGCCGAAATAAACATAAAAAACTTAATTGTATTTAACATTTAAGCTCTTCATTGCCTTCGCAGAAAAAGCGAAAATTGCGTCAAAATTAGAGTATGTTTCTCGCGACCAAGGTATTTTCCAAAAGGTAGCTAATTTTGAAAACCCCCGTAGTTTTTTGATGAGTCAATTCCTCCTCGAGTGAGCTCATAACTAAGTGGATCGAGAAAAATGGGGTAGGCTAATTTCTGCAATTTTTTTTGCGCAACTGGGTCGTTTGCGCAATTCGCCATAAATTTCTTCTAAGTCGGCCAATCTTTATGATTTTAGTGTCATTTTGTAGCCCAATAAGTTCAATAAGAGTACTGGAATAGGGAATACTGTAACTGTTATGCTTAGTGCAATAGGGATACTATAGCTGCCATAGCGGTGATATCTCGAGACCAACAAGAGAAAAGCAAAAGGGAAAAATTTACATTGAAAAAAAGCGTTTAAACAAATTTTAGAGAACCATTCAATTTTCGGAAAAATTTCAGCGCTTTGAATGGATCCCGTTTTGAGATTTAGAAATACGGGAAAGTTACAGTAATTGATGGATTTTGCAAACCTAACAAAATTTTCACAAAACAAATATTCTATACAAAAAGGCAAAACAATGAGGAGAAAGTAAAATAGAGAAAATTTTTTGATTTAAAAATTTGGGATTAACCGATTGGATTTTGGGTGACTGGACGGAAAAAAGGTTTTGAAAACAAGAAATAAAATGAGATCGATTAGACCAAAGAAGAAAAATAAAAAGCATTTGTGAGGACAAACAACGCGAGAAATTCATTGAAAGAAATGGGGAACGCTGTTTGAAATGGAAATAATAAAAAGAAGAAGCAGAAAGAAAATTATAGTGAAAAAGCAAAGCTTCAGCAAGGCCATCAAAGCAAATTCAGTTCGGTTTTCGTGAAATTCACTGGGCAACCTGCAAGCAAAAACTAGCTCAACTAACTTGCATTCTGGTCTAGTACAGTAGTTAATTCTTTGGTGCAGTTCTTAAACTACTTCTGAAACCTCATGAGTATTACCAGTGAATTTGAGTCTTAACATCGCTCTAACCAGTCTTTTTCCAAAAAATTCCATGTCTCTACCTGGACCAGGTTTATCGAAATGCTACTAGATCTAGAGGTATACGATTGCTCTGGGCTAGAGCTAGTACAAGCTTCATTCTTTGAACCAAGTACCAAGTATCAGAGCAATAACAGTCATTAGTGCCAAGTTCTAGCTGATTTGATACTGGTACAGCTATAATATCAAACACTTGGTGCTTGGTTGCGTGAGTGGAAGTACCTAGCTTTATCAATACCAAGCCAATGGCTCATCGGAAAATAGTCTTCTTCAAGAATAGTTATCGTGCGTATTGAACGGTGCACCGGAAAAGAAGCCTTTCCAAGCTCCAGATTTTAGCTCGAAGTACACGATAATTGAGCTGATTGCAACTCCAGACAAAGTTTCAAAAAAGACTCAATTAAAAAGGAGCCCGTCTGGTGCAATTTAGTAATTTCGAGTTTATCGGGCAAAAAAGTTTCAAATAAAGTTTTTTTTTTGGTGAAAGCAAATGAGCGAAAATGTGAATAGCTAAAATGAAAGGGAGAAAAGAAAAAAAAGAAATGGAGAGAGCCGATTCGAATCTAATTAACAGATCTCCTTCATCCGAAAAAAGAAAAAGAAATGGAAAGAGATCTCCTTTTTGGAGAGGAGACCCATCAACTGAGGGGGTCAGCCGGAAGCACGTTCTCGCAAAAAAAGATTCCATAAAGTGATGAAATTGCTTCAGAGTTTTGCTCTTTTGGCTGCAAAATGGGCTTTCTGGGTAAACAATCGTCATTTATCAAATTGTGAGAGGATTAAGTGAGAGGGGAATAATGAATTGCAAGTAATGGATTGGGATCAAGCAGTTCGAAGAATTGTTCCCATTGTTCAATGAGGTATATCCAAGGGTTATTGTTTATCGTAAAGTGATCACTGTTCTGTTGGGTAATTAAACCAGATCAAAGAATAGTTTTTAAACACTTTTTGAAATAAACTAATGTAAATCGATGGCAGATATTAAAGATCCGTACAAATTTTTATCTGTAAAGTATCCCTTGAAAGCTTAATATAAATAGACCAAGGAAGAAATTATTTCAAAACTTTGAAAGCCGTTCCAACCTTTTTTCAGATAATTCACCTACAAATTGCCGCCAAATTCTATAGAGTTTTTCTTGTGGTCAAAGAAAAATCAAAATGGATTCCTTGGAGTTCAAACGGAAAACCCTTTTGAACGGAAATTTGCTGAGAAATTAGTTTCGGGCGGGGGTATAATAATGACAGAATACAAAGGTATAATAATGACAGAATACAGAGGTCAGATCTAATAATGTCATCAAGCAATTCTTTAAAAAGTCTATTATCTAACTTATAAACTTATCCAGCGTTTTAAAACTTTTTCACGCTAATCCCCACGGATCTGCGTAACAAAAAAAGTACACGAAAACAAAAAGAATAAAGAACACATCTTTCATTTTCTATTTTTTCAGACTGTTACGTAGTTGTGATGACACGAAAAATAGTTTGTTACATAATGGGGGAAATTGGGCATGAGTGGAGTGAGAAAAAAACAAATTTGTGTCCATGTGAGGAGAATGGATAAAAAGAGATGAAAGAGAGGAAAGAGATCTATTGACGCTTGAAAAGAGACTCGAGGGGAAGGGGTGGCGTCATTAGAGATGAAAAGAGAAGAGACAATCAACAGACAACTGGGAAGTCCACCCTCAACCCGGGAGGAATTTCAAATAGAAATCTAAAGCAAGAAAAAGACGTGTGGATATTATTTGAGAACAATAAAAGTCGATTGTGAATCTAATAAGATTTAGATTATTGTAAACTGAAAGGTAAGATAGAATTGAAAAGATGGAGAAAGATGGGGGCAAGATAAAATCGAAGACTAATTATAAGCTAAGGCTTACTTTGAGAATTCTTGCAATAGTTCTGGATAAAGAAGAAGCACTATTAAAATATTACTATCGTAAATACTGTAATAGTACCCCACCCCTCTCGTACAGTCGCGTAGTCGCAAAAGTTTTTTAGTATTTCATTTTTTTCAAAGCGCCCGTACTTTCAAAAAATGCGTCTTTGGAATCAAAAAATAGCCCTGAATTTCAGCTATTTTTTGATACCTAAGCGCGCATTTTAGCATAAACCAGTGTCGAGAAAAACGCGTCCAAAGCTAGACTACGCAACACTCCGCACCGTCATTATGGGGATGGGGTACTATTACAGTATTTACGGTATTTGTAATTGATTACAATCCAAATAAGAAAACGTTTACGATGAAATTTAATATAATGAACCAAAAATGATGGAGTGAGCGTTTCTGGCGTCATTAGGGGCTCTCTCTCAAGTAGTCCCCTTCACTTCAAAGCAATCGGAGAGTCACACACAACTCTCGTTCAAAGCCTTTTCTTCCGTTCATTCTCTTTCATTCAACTCGTGAACACTTGTGAGAATTTCGAAAATTTCCCTCAATTCCTTTTGTCTTCCGCCTTTTTTAAAAACTAGACAATTTTTGGAGTCTAAGCCTGAGATTTGTGAGTAATTGAAGCAAAGAAAATTTAAGAATTACACAAGAAAGCCGTAAAAATATTGAATTCTGCTAAATACAAAGTCAAAAAGCTTTAGGTCTTGATTTTAAAATATCAAAAAGTTATTGATGAACTCGTGAACACTTGTGAGATCTGTTCAATGCTTGGAAATCCTCTTGATTTCCAAGCATTGAACAGATTTCTGAACTCAAGCCCAGGCTGGCTGAAAAAAACCAAAAAAAAAACAAACTAATTTCTGGCTCAATTTCTCCATAAACCGCTTGATTGTAGCATTTTTTTAAATTTAGTGAAAAGGTTCAACTCAAAACGACTACAAATCCCATCTCTCAATCAAAACTTGACCTTTCCAACCTAATTTTTCTAAAAAAGTCTGAAACCCACTTTTTACCTACACAATTTTCGAATAATTGTAGCAAATAGGCTATTTTTCAGCTGGGAAAATCTTCCCCGGTAATCAATTTCCAGGTGCAATTTTCGGATCGTTTTCTTGGAGTTGAGCGATGTTTGTGGTGTTCGGGAAAAGAAAAAGACCGAAGAAAAGACGGACTTGAGTTAATGGGCCAGATGATGAGGGAGAAAACGCATCAAGAGAACGCATAATCAAACTTTAGAGACAATCAACAGACAACTGGGAAACCCACCTGGGAACACTTGGAGGAATTTGAAATAGAAATCTGAAGCAAGAAAAAGACGGGTGGATATTATTTGAGAACAATACAAGTCGATTGTGAATCTAATAAGATTTCGATTACTTTAAACTGATTCCGTGTGTTAGATGATGAGCGAGAAAACCCATCAAGAGAACGCATAATCACACTTTACCAATTGAAAACTAAACACATGAAAGATTGAAATCTCAAAATGTAAAATATTGTTGCACCTTTCTAATCTATTGTTTTAATACCATTAACATAAAAGAATAAGCTTAAAATTTTATCAAAGAAACAAGCTAGTCCAATCATTTGAGCATATTGGATAACCAATTTTTTATTCGTCATCGAGTAGCCTCGATATCCGACACCCCGAAACCCACAATTGGTTAGTGAGATCAACAACGGAAATCCTTGAATCTCTATACATTTACCCAATGGATATTTTGTGTTCTTTGGTGTCACTTGAGAATTCGAATCCACTAACAATCCGACTCGAAAACGACGATTCGATTTTTGAACTCGAAAAGAAGATTTGCGCCTCGTTTTCTTTGAAGCCAGAAGAGGTAAGAAACGAGAAAAGATGGTATAATTGTAGCGTAGTATTGCACCAGCCAAACGGTAATCGGCCAACCAACTCATCGAATCAAAACGACTCCTGCCTACTGTAAAGTATAGATAATAAAATATATTGGGTTGGTGGGTATGAAATGTTGCTAAAAATAAACAACCGATTTATTGAATATTTTACATGCAATCATTCTAAATATTCTCCACTATTTTGGATGACTTGAGCCCATTGTATGTACAAAGAACGAGACATATTTTGTCTTTTACTTCAAAGAAATTAACGCTGATGTTTCTAGCTGATCAAAAACATTGCTCATCTAAGGTTAGAAAGTTTAAATTCATTAAGATTTCCAAAAATTCTTTCAAAAACTTTCTGAATCTTGTTCTCTTGCAATCATTATCATCTTCAATCACATCAATGAATATTCATGGCTGAACTCTTCAAGAATATTTATGAGTGTCCATCAAAAAAGAGCTGAATGTCTAAAATAGCATGATTACTCTCATCTTTCAGATTCTTTTCATCACTCGAGATGGAGAACCCTTCTTGACGGCAAATTCACCAACGTTTAATGATGGGGAGAAACTTTTTGTTCACAAAAAGGGTTCGTTAGAAAGATTTGGAGTGGCTGAATTTAAGCTACTTGCCAGTGTCAGACTCAAAGAATATTCAAATTGAGGAAATTGAATTTAAAACACAGATCAAAACTACTAGAGCTAAATTAAACTTTAGCAGAAAGAGCGGAAAGTTATGACCAGACCAGGTCATAAGCCAGAAGTGACTTTTTATAATAGCATTTATAGCAATACTAATCTTTTTCACATTCCAGTTTCTATCAAAGCTTTAAGACGACTTACCACCTTTTTGATTAAAATTTAAATTTAAAAAATAATAAAATCATAAAGATCGATCCCCTCAGAAGAAAGTTATGGTTTAAAATTTGATTTTGATCAGATCTATTAAAGCTTCAAGACGACTTACCACCTTTTTGATTCATATTTGATGGTTTGGAAAGTTCATGTTGTGTGACCATTCACTTTTTCTTAAATTTTATTAAGTGTAATACTTGTAATTACCGTAAATACTGTAATAGTACCCCACCGCCCTCGTACAGTCGCGTAGTCGCAAAAGTTTTTTAGTATTTCATTTTTTTCAAAGCGCCCGTACTTCCAAAAAATGCATCTTTGGAATCAAAAAATAGCCCTGAATTTCAGGCTATTTTTTGATACCTAAGCGCGCATTGTAGCATAAACCAGTGTCGAGAAACACTCGTCCAAAGCTAGACTACGCGACACTCCACACCGTCATTATGGGGGTGGGGTCCAATTACAGTATTTACGGTATGTGCGCGTGCTAAGTGTATAAATAAGACATTGTTGCATGATTTTAACTAGCTGCAATATCTATTTTTGGGCGCAAATGCAATCCACTTTTAGGCTCTATTCTAAACATTCTTTTGAAATGTGTTTCTTTACTCAAGAATTTTATCTACTTAATTATTTTTATCTTTAGTTGAAGGTATCGCTCGTTTCTTGCTGGCGAATTGCAAAAGATGGATCAAGGAAATGTCAGGGCGAACGCTGGATCACGAACGCTGGTTCAAAGGCGTGAGTTTGTTTCTAACATTTCTACTTGCTAAGTAAGCACTGATCTCCAGTTGCCTAGTTGTAAAATGTACGTAAGTTGCCTAGATGACGTAGCTAAGTGTAGTACAAACTTGTGTTTTAAATTAAGCTAGAGTATAGTTTGCAAATATATGCAAAACATTAGTAGCTATAGCGTTGTTTTAAAGTTGCCTCAATGACTGAAACCTAAATAGAAAGACCGATGTTCTTGTTGTTTAGTCCTCGCAAACATCAGTCATTTTTCGCGCCTTAAGAAAACATTAGTATTTCTAAATTCCCTTGTACTTTGCTTGCTAGATTGTATTTTTCGACTGTTTTTCCAATGTTATTTAATTTTTTCTGGGGTATTCAAACATGCTGGATCTATTGGTGATATTTTTAGAAAGTTTTGAACAATCTTTGTCAATGTTTTGTTGAGCTAGCTGAAGTATAACTGTTGCAGTGCGGCAACGCTAGAAAATGAGAACGGCGAAATACAAAGTGAAAACTATTTAAAACACTAAAAATATCACCAATAAACTAAACGTATTTGACTACCCGGAAAAATGCAAAAGCAGACTAGAAAAAAAGACGCTTAAAATAGGTTCCCGACGGGCCAAGACAGAGGGAACGAATCGTGAGAGGAAAGGCTTGACTTTGAAACTTCAAAACTTATCGCTTTTTGACGAAGGATCTAAGAGAACCGCCGTCGTTCAGAGGTAGATATCGTTTTCACGTGCTCTCCTTAACTGTTATCAAATTATTATTTAGCATTTCAAGCCAAGTTCAATCTGCGCGTCGATTAGCTCGAGATGAACTAAAATCTTTCTCTACATGCCCCTTATTTGAGGAGAATGATTTACCACGCATCGAAGATGCTTTGTTTCAAGCTCATCTCACGTCAGGTATCGTACGGCTATTCGTTGTGCTAGTGGCGCTAGTTTTTTTTTTTCTAGATGTTCATTTTAGACAAATCGGCGCTTGAACTTATTTCTGTCGCTGTGGAAGAAATAAGAGAACTACTGTCAAACTTTGGATTACGCACACGTTATGGAATAATCACACGTTCAATCACACGTTTGCTTGCCAACACCTCCCAGCTAAGCGTCAAAGAAAAAAAAAGGATCAAAGATCTCGTTGCACAAATTGATGAAATTCGAGTATGTGTCCTACAACTTACATTTACTATTCATTTAGCTTCGTCAATTTGTCTGTCGGGCTGGTTTGACGCTAGAATTTTCAAATGTTGGTGGAAAAGATTACGCGTTCGATAACATCAACTATTTTCTTCACAACCAGGTATTGACTATATTTTTTAATTACTTATTAGATCAAATATGAGAAGATTTAGAAAATACTAGATTGATTTCTAACCTAAAAGCGGCGCTATCGCAACCAGGGAAGCAGTGGACGGGGCTCACTATATTTAATTACTTATTAGATAAAATAAGATACATTTTAGAAAATACTAGATTGATTTCTAAACTCAAAGTTACAAATAAATATGTGTTGTTCTCTTTGTAGGATATTTAATGTAGGATTATGGATATTTAACATGTGTCTTTTTAAAAAAGATTGATACCTGTCTTTTTAGATACCATGCGAAAATGTTGCTTCTCGCTTTTCTGAGACTAAACGAGCTCAAATGGTTGACTGGATTTTTTTGATCTCCCGCGTGGTCCAGATACCAGATGAAACATATTTTTTGGCAGTTCACTTGTTAGATAAAGCACTACTGGTTAGTTTTTGATATTTTTATCTAACAGAAACTCGTTAAGGTTGACAAAAATATTTCTAAAATGTCAGATGTGGAAAATGTTATGGTGCTAGCGGTGAAGCTTGCTCGAAGAGGCGAATTCGGCCCTGGATATGAAAATGGAATGGTATTCGGTCCTGAATATGAAGATGGGATGGTATAGCTTATCATATTAATTTTCCACATCATTTTTTCGTGGGAACGTCTTAAGCTGGCTGTTTGCAATCTTAAACTACAGTGTCAAAAGGACAAAATTAATCAATGTGAATTTAAGGTTGACCTTCCTTTTATTTTTTATGGTGAAAATGTTTCAGCTTTTGAAATTTGTTGACTTTTCCATTTCACGGCAACACTTGTTGCACTTTCTCCAGATTTTTTGGGTAAGCTTCTTCGATACTTTTGACGCCTTTTCTAAAATCTGTTTTTAGTTATTGATGGGTGATGTCATGAGCGGAACTGAGAAAGAAAATGGATGGGCGACGGTGAAGGGGTTGGCATATATCGCAACGGCCAAAGCATCTCTGATGAATAAAAAACCTTCACTTGTTGCTGCTGCCATTATGCGGATAGCTCTTCACCTGTTTTTTAATCGTGGTCAACTTCCGGAGGATGAAGTTTGTTTTTCTAAAGAAGTAGTAATAAGTGAGTTTACACAGGTTCTCCAAATCATCTCGAGCCTTCTACACAAAGAAAGTGAATACGTGCCGATCGCCACAAAACTTTTAAAATCGGTTTTGTCTCCTCCAACATGCATCCCAACGGTAAGTGATTTCAATTATCGATTTTAGTTAGTTGGAGTTTGTAGATCATACGTGTGTTTGAAGCCAATCAATATCATCCCAGTAAAAAAGAGCTAGAAGCTATTGCCTGTGAATTAAAGAAGTGAGGCAAGTATTTTCGTAGAGGCTTCGATATCTTTTGTAAATTAATCTAGCATTTGTGAAAGAAAGATTGTGTATGTGTTTTATAAATTTTATTTTATACTACCGTAAATACTTTAATAGAACACCCCCAATAGGAGCGTTGCGTAGTCTAAATATACATTCAAACAAACGATCATATCATATCTATGATCGCTTGTTTGAGTGTACATTTAGGGATGTAGTTAAAACAGCGCCGTAAAATTTCTCACGATCCAAAAAATTAAGCCGGTTCAAGTTTTATGCCAAAAAATTCCTTGCGCTCTTCGCTACATGATGGGTGTAACAGTTTTTTTAAAAAGATCTTTAGAGACCATTTTGAACGCTAATTTTATCTATGATATATTAAATAACTTTTCAAAAACTATTTCACCCATCATGTAGCCAAAAAATTGTGAGAAATTTTACTGTTTTGAACATTTTCTATTCGGCGCTCTTAATTTTAAATCATTCATTTTAAATTTTAATTACAGCTCTAAATGTACATCACCGAATTGATATGATCGCTTGTTTGAATGTATTCCTAGACTACGCAACGCTCCTATAGGGCCGTTCTATTAAAGCATTTACGATCCTGTTTGTGCATTTAAAAAATTTGTAACATGTTCGATGCCGAAATAAATATAACATAACAAAATTAATTGTATTTGATATTCAAATTCTTTATTGCATTTGCAGAAAAAGCGAAGATTGAATCGGAATTAGGGTATGTTCATAGTGCATTTTCCAAAATGTAGCTATTTTTTAAAATGCACAAGAAATTACCTTTCGGGCTTTGTACTTTGTGCTCGCTAAACGGTGCACTCGCTTTTGAGAAAGACATTGTTTTCAATGGGCACAAGTCTGCCGAAGATCTCGAAAAAGGAAATCGTTAAACTAACAAAATTCTCTTCAATGATGTCATTTCTGCCATACGTTCCATCAACATCCACTGAATCCGATGGGACATCACCACCAAAGGTGAGTTTAAAAAGATTCATTAAAAATTCAATTTCAGGAAAACATTTGTTCCAGATCCAAAAACGACTCACCCAAACCGGCACTCCACCAACAAAAGCTCTGCGTTTCGGGAATCGGCTTCTCTGCTCCAAAAAAGCAACCAAATGTATAAGACGAGGAAACAACAAAGGAAAGAAAGGAATATGCGGAGGAGGAGCAGTCGATTGTGGGTTTTTGCAACTTTGAGAACCAAATTTATACTCAGTTTCATAGTTTTTGATAGCCTCCCAGTAAAAAATGTCAAACTTTGAAGACTGTAGGGTGTAATTGGAGGGTTCTTTTTGTCCCGACAATGCAATGAGTTTATTACTACGGAAATTTAAAACATTGAACATTTACAAGTTTGCAAAAAATCTAAATCTGATTCAAATCCTTGAATCTTTACTGATAGTCAACGTTTTGATCGGCGACGAATTTCCCGTTTTCCACATCATGCGCGCGATCATTTTTGTCGAGGAAAACCTCGTGGCCAGAGCTAGTGTCGTGTCCAACCTAGAATTGAAAAAGGTAGAATGGTTTAGCTTTTCATGTGGTTTCATCTTTAGTGAGCTCTACTTCAATCTTAACTTTCAAAGTTCCAGTAGAGAAAAAAATTAACAAGGACATGGAAATCTTGAACTTTTCAAAGGACATTAGTCCATTTTGGGGATTAGGCAAAATTCTTGGCCAGTAATAACTATAAGATTCCTCAAAACCAACCACATCATGTTTCATTCCTTCATCGATTTTCGGGCTACGGCCACGTTGGCCTTGATCGGCCTAAATCGACATCATTCATTTATTTCTGCATAGGAAATATTTGGATTAATCAAATTCTAATATATTTTGAGTACTTTTGTTTATTTCGTTCCTCACCTCTTTCGAAACGAATTGTCCCGTGTGGGCATCGTGGGCGCGTCCCAGGTTGTCACGGGTGATATCGCTCATTTTTGATTGATTGATTGAATAGCTGAAATTGGATAGCTTTGTAATTTAATGTAAAAAAGACAATAAGTTTTGGAAGCTTTGAAGAACATATCAAGATCGTAATTGTTGAGATTTGTTGTATTTTCTATCTAACTTGGATCCTTTTTATACATGCCATGTTTACCATTCATTTGGCTGCCCTTTTCATCCAGAAAAGCAGCTGTGAAGAAATTTGGAGAAAAATTGTCCTTTCCATATGCAAATTTCAAATCCTGCACGTTTTCCTGAAAGAAAACGGGCAAAAAATAGCTTGTTGATCATTTTCAAAAACTTTTCCGCCCAAGTGAGGACTAATGACCGTTCGTTGAAATGCAAACTTAGTAGGAAATAAACAACATGTTGATTAGGATGATGGCTTGTATTTGATGAAATAATTCAGATTGAGCGAACAACCCTACACTAATGGATATGGAGAAGAGAGTTGTGAGCCACAAGTGGTCGTCGAAGAACTCGTCACAACGCAAGAATCAAGACCAGATTCTCTTCATTCAGAAATTGAACAATTTGTAATAAAGCATTCGATCCTGTGTATGCATTCGAAAATTTGTAACATGTTTTCTACGGAAATAAACGTAAAATAACAAACTTAATTGTATTTGACATTTAAGCTCTTCATTGCATCAAAGTATGTTCCTAGAGTATGTTCCTCGCGACCAATGTATTTTCCAAAAGGTAGCTGGTTTTGAAAACTACCGTAATTTTTCGTTCAGCTTTTGATTCCATTCAACACGTCAGTTCCGCGTCGGATGAGCTCATAATTCAGTCGATCGGGATAAATCTAAAAGAAAGATTACGGTGGTTTTTCAAGCAATTCATATTTTAAAAGGCTACACGATAAAAGATTCATCATCTTTGAGCTTCATGTTCAGGAGCTCGTTCAGTCAGTTCCTCCAATGTCTCTTTTATTACAGGAAATAGTTCGATGATTTGCAAAAAAGTTTCGTGGCGTTCGACCCATCTAATGTTGCAAAATTTCTGAATTCTTCTGCGATTGTTCATTTGCTATCTGTTCAAAAATCGATGCTCGCGATGGGACCAGGCTATGCTGCTTATTACTTGCCTTGAAAAACCTTGCAGCATCAATTCCTGAAAGTTAGTAAAGGCTGATAGAAAAACATTAAACAATTCAAACAACTAAAAATGCAAGGAAAAGTTCGTTTCTTTGTGTCCACGGGGTAGTAAGTACGGTACTTTTCGTGCAAAATAGAATTTAGAAGTTCCTCTAAAAACCGCCGCGGGACTTTTTAGAGGGCGCTCATTTTTTCGATCGAGCTCTAGATCGGCGCTTTTTAGAGGATTTACGGTAATTGTGTTTAGTGCTTACCTTGCCACCAAAACGAACCGAAAATGAAAAATACGGGGTAGCTTCAAATACAGTTAAAAATGGAATTCGAAGAAGAGATTCGAAAATGGAGCGCAATCAAAATGGGTATAACATAGAGCCTTCAGGAAATTTTTCGCCGAACTTTACATCCGTCGCGTGAATCATCTTTAACATTTAGACTAAATAGATCTCTTCACGCTTTTTTTCCACCCACTTACCTCCTTCTATTTTCCTCCATACCTTACAGTCCAACCCGTCAGCATCTAATTTCGCGGGGGGGACCCCTTGCACCTTGATGAGAAGAGAAGAGACAATCAACAGACAACTGGGAACACTTGGAGGAAGTTGAAATAGAAATCTAAAGCAAGAAAAAGACGGGTGGATATTATTTGAGAACAATACAACTCGATTGTGAATCTAATAAGATTTCGATTACTTTAAACTGAGTTCGTGTGCCAGATGATGAGGGAGAAAACGCATCAAGAGAACGCATAATCAGATTTTACCAATTGAAAACTAAACACATGCAAGATTGAAATCTCAAAATGTAAAATATTGTTGCACCTTTCTAATCTATTGTTTTAATACCATTAACATAAAAGAATAAGCTTAAAATTTTATCAAAGAAACAAGCGAGTCCAATCATTTGAGCATATCGGATAACCTATTTTTTATTCGTCATCGAGTAGCCTCGATATCCGACACCCCGAAACCCACAATTGGTTAGTGAGATCAACAACGGAAATCCTTAAATCTCTATACGTTTACCCAATGGATATTTTGTGTTCTTTGGTGTCACTTGAGAATTCGAATCCACTAACAATCCGACTCGAAAACGACGATTCGATTGTTGAACTCGAAAAGAAGATTTGCGCCTCGTTTTCTTTGAAGTCAGAAGAGGTAAGAAACCAGAAAAGATGGTATAATTGTAGAGTAGTATTGCACTAGCCAAACGGTAATCGGCCAGCCAACTCATCGAATCAAAACGACTCCTGCCTACTGTAAAATATAGTAATGTGACAATATATTGGGTTGGTGGGTATGAAATGTCGCTAAAAATAAACAACTGATTTATTCAATATTTTACATGCAATCATTCTAAATATTCTCCACTATTTTGAATGACTTAAGCCCATTCTACTGGCAAAGATCGGATGCCTCTTTCATAGAAAATCTTCGGCTTTGACGCAAACCAAGCTGTCAGCCATTTTTTTTACCTCTTCTTCGGAACCAAAGTGTTTTTCGCCAAATCATTGCACATCGACCGGAATAAGTAGTAATCAGAAGGTACAAGATCAGGGATGTATGCCGGATGGGTCATCACCACCCATCCAAATGCGTTTAGTGTAGAACAAGTCATGTTCGAAACATGCGGTCTAGCATTATCATGTTGAAGAATGATCTTTCTTTATGAGGTCTTTTCTCTAGCAAAGATTTGGATGACTTTTCAAGTTGCTCCGAGTATTTGATCAAGTTGAGTGTTGTCTTACTATCCAAAAGTCCCCAGTAAATGCCTTCCAAATCCCAGAACACGAAAGCGTCAGCTTCTTCTTGGCATTATCTAGCTGGACTGCTGGATGACCCATCCCTCTGTCTTCGTGGATTTTCCCCAGAACGGAATTTAGCAAACTAGTTTGCATATGGCCGTAGTGAAGCTGATCCTGTGGTAGATTTTAAATAAGCAGAGCAAAAGTTGCCAAAATTTCGAAATAACAGAAAGTAAGGAAGTCTGGTTTCATTGTTTTTGGAAAAGTATTCTTGACTTTATCAGTTTCTCAACAGCCTCCACCTGTGTTTAGTTTACGGGTTTAGGAATCAATCGGAAAAATAGCGATATTTCATACCCACCGAGTCAATAGTATTAGATTAGACATGCATTACTTTTATTGATCTATAAATGAGCAAGGATTGTGAAAAACCTATGTAAACCCATGGCTATATGTGGCTACCTCTAGTCGGTTCCTTATGAAACGTGTACTTTGTGCCAATGAAAACACACTCTCTCTGGCACACCATATTCTCAACTTTAGTGTCATAGCAATTTTAATGCGCCAGAAAGGCTGTGTTTACATGTTAGCACAAAGAACGAGACATATTTTGTCTTTTACTTCAAAGAAATTAACGCTGATGTTTCTAGCTGATCAAAAACATTGCTCATCTAAGGTTAAAAAGTTTAAATTCATTAAGATTTCCAAAAATTCTTTCAAAAACTTTCTGAATCTTGTTTTCCTGCAATCATTATCATCTTCAATCTCATCAATGAATATTCATGGCTGAACTCTTCAAGAATATTTATGAATGTCTAAAATGGCATGATTACTCTCATCTTTCAGATTCTTTTCATCACTCGAGATGGAGAACCCTTCTTGACGGGGAATTCACCGACGTTTAATGATGGGGAGAAACTTTTTGTTCATAAAAAGGGTTCGTTAGAAAGATTTGGAGCGGCTGGAATTTAAGCTACTTGCCAGTGTCAGACTCAAAGGATATTCAAAATTGAATTCAAAACTACTAGAGCTAAAGTAAACTTTAGCAGAAAGAGCGGAAAGTTATGGCCAGACCAGGTCATAAGCCAGAAGTGACTTTTTATAATAGCATTTACTAATCTTTTTCACATTCTAGTTTCCGAAGCGACAACTCTCATTCGAAAGCGGGATGCTTATGTTGGGATCACAATCACAAATTCTATCTTCGGTTCAACGTTGATCAAAGCTGTTTCCCCTTTGGCTTCAGCTCACGGATTGCTTTTCCCTGGAGATGTACTTGTTGAAATGGTAACGATCAAAAATGCAGTCTTGAAGCTGATTATGAGTTCTATTGTTAATTTAAACATTTCAAAACCAGAACAGATTTTCAGAACAATGGATCTCTGCACGGGAAAACACATTTTGAAGTTGCTTCACTGATCAAAGCTATCCCGATTGGATCACTCGTGGAATTCCTTGTCTATCGAGGAATTCAGAATCGAAAAAATAGAGAAAGTGAGCCATTTTTAAGAATTATACTTTACAAATGACTTCAGGAATTGATGCTGCAAGGCTTTTCAAGGCAAGTAATAAGCAGCATAGCCTGGTGAGAGTTAGAACTTATTCTTGAAGTTAAAATTGCCTTCAGAGTCGTTTGTTGAGACGAGAATCACAGAAAGATCCCCGCTTGGTGGAGAAATTGAATGAAATACTCGAGGAGTACTTTGGGGTTAATGATGATGAGATTTGTGAGTACAATCAGCCAATTACACTCTACAATGCCTACTTTAGGCCTAAACTTGACCGAAATCGCTTTAAAATCTTCGACTTGCGACGAGTTCTGTCAAAAAATTCTCAACGACTCGTTTTCCTCTACTCAAGTCCCTCAACTGCCTCGTCCAATCCTTGAACGAATGTATTCAGCTATTGAGAAAATTTTGTAATAAACTTTATCAATAGATTCAAACTTTTATCCTGGTAATTCACAGTTAAATCCTGTACAAATACACACAGCCAGCCTTGTATAGCTAGCCATTCTAAGCAGAATTTGCAAAAAGGGCCATATTAGAAGTGTTATAAAAGGATATTGTAGCTCCGATACGGAATACTCTACTAATACTATAGCCGCTGTAAGAGTACTGTGAAAGGGAATACTATAACTGCTATGGATATGGGCAACTGGAGATCAGTGCTTACTTAGCAAGTAGAAATGTTAGATGCAACAAAAAAAACAAACTCACGCTCTGGACGGGCAGCTCTATCGTTCGCCCTGACATTTTTTGAATGATCTCATCCATCTTTTGCAATTCGCCAATCAGAAACGAGCGATACCTTCAACTAAAGATAAAAATAATTAAATAGAGAAAATTCATGAGTAAAAAAGTACATTCCAAAATAATGTTTAGAATAGAGCCCAAAAGCGGATTGCATTTGCGCCCAAAAGTAGGTATTGCTGCTAGTTTAAACCATGCCACAATGTCTGATGTATACACTTAACACGCGCACATAAGCTGCGGCAAGTAAAACTATGAAATTGGGAATAACTTATCCAAGAAACCAATGAACGCATGACATTATACCATGATTTCTGCGATATTGAGATATTCAGTTAATAACCTCGCCTAAAGTTGATTTACCGAAAACAATACTGGGAGAAAAAACAGGGTGGACTAAAAACATTTTTTGCGCAACTCTTCATAACTTTCTTCTAAGTCGGCCAATCCTTATGATTTTAGTGCCATTTTGCTGCTCTCAACAGGAGCAACAAAATAAAAGACAATAATATCATAAAGATCGGTCCACTCAGATGAAAGTTATGGTTTAAAATTTGATTTTGATCAGATCTATTAAAGCTTTAAGATTTACCAGATTTGGTTCATGTTTATGGTTTGGAAAGTTCATGATGTGTGACCATTCACTTTTTATTCAATTTTAGTAAGTGTAATACGTGCAATTTTTTTTGGATAAGCTACCCCCAACTTAATAGTTTTACTTGCCGCCAGCTTATGTGCGCGTGCTAAGTGTATACGTAAGACGTTGTTGCATGACTTTAACTAGCAGCAATACCTACTTTTGGGCGCAAATGCAATCCACTTTGAGGGTCTATTCTAAACATTATTTTGGAATGTACTTCTTTACTCATGAATTTTCTCTATTTAATTATTTTTGTCTTTAGTTTATCGCTCGTTTCCTGCTGCTCAATCACAAAAGATGGATGAGGTCATGCAACAAAATGTCATTGCGAACGCTGGAGCTGCCATTCGAAAGCGTAAGTTTATTTTCTTGTTGCATCTAACATCTCCAGTTGCCTATTTATAAAATATACGTCGTCTAGATAACATGTAGCTGAGTGGTACTATTGGGCATTTTGATTTGGGGACATTTTGAATTGACCCGGCCAGAATCAATCGCGTATTTTTTTCTAGTCTGGTTTTGCATTCCCTGGGTTATCCAAATACGCTTAATCTATTGGCGATATTTTTAGAGTGTTTTTAATAGTTTTCACTTTGTTTTTCACCCCTGGCCTCATTTTCTAGCGTTGCGGCACTGCAGCAGTTATACTTTAGCTAGCTCAACAAAACATTAACAAAGATTGTTCAAAAACTTTCTAAAAATACCACCAATAGATACAGCATGTTTGATTACCCGAGAAAAAATGAAATAACATTGGTAAAACGGTCGAAAAATACGATCTGACCAAATCAGATCAAAGTTCAAGGGAATTTGGATTTGAGATTTGGGAATTGACTGGTAGAGGCAAAACTCATTCAAAAAATATTTTTTGAGATTTTGACTGTTTTTTAACTCATTTGGAATTTGTCAAAATTTGGAAAAAATCTTTTTTTAGTTTGGTCGAATTTGGTCAGAAACGTAATCAGTATTTTAAATTATGCGAGGAGAAGTGTTTTTGGCTTCAAAAAATGTTGTGAGAGACCATTTTTGGAGATCTTCCTTAAGTGTATCCCTCCCCGCACTGTATGAGCGCGAACTTTGAAGCCCCAAAGCGGGCCTAAAACGCCTTTTCCCAAGCTCTCGTTGTGTTTTTTGGAAACTACGCATAAAACTACTCCAGAAAAGGTGGTTTTGAAGAAAACAAGTGTTCCCCAATTGACGTAGTACCAAAATATCACCAATAGATTAGGCGTATTTGACTACCCTAGAAAAAACAAGCTAGAAAAAGCATGCATAAAATAAAAAATAGCTTCTGAGGTCAAGTCAAAGTGCTTCCCCCTCCCGCCGAACTTTATTAGTAACAATTCCCTTCCTTCAAAATTGCAAGAAGGAGGACCAAACAACATCAGATATCTTTTATTTCAGTTTCAACTGCCCGCCGATCAGCTCGACGGTCACTGGATTCTTTCTCTACATGCCACTTAGTTGAGAAGAATGATTTAGCGCGTATCGAAGAAGCTTTGGCTCAAGAACATCTCACGTCAGGTATTGTACGACTATTCATTCTGCTACTGGCGCGAGTTTTTTCTATATATTGATTTTAGAGAAATCGGCGGTTCGACCTATTTCTGTCGCTTGGGAAGAAATAAGAGATGGACTACGGGCAAACTTTGGAAGCCGCACGCGTTCATTGGCTGCCAAGCCCTGTCATCTAAGCGTCAATGAAACGGAAAAAAAAATCAAAGATCTCATTGCGCAGATTGATGAGAATCGAGTAAGTGCCATACTACATGATAACTTACATTTACTATGAATTTAGCTTGTTCAATTTTTCTCTCAGGCTGATTTGCCGCTAGAACTTGCAGAACATGTTGGTGGAAAAGATTACGCGTTCGACATTATCAACTATTTTCTTCACAACCAGGTAGGTACTATATTCCTAAATTACTTATTGGATCAAATATGAGAAGATTTCGAAAATACTAGATTGATTTCTAAACTAAAAGCTACAAATAAATGTGTTTTTCTCATTGTAGGATATTTTATGGATATTTAACGGATATTTAACATGCGTCTTTTTCAAAAAAAATAAAAAACGCAAAACTGTCTTTTTAGATGCCATGCGAAAATGTTGCTTCTCACTTTCCTGAGATTAAACGAGCTCAAATGGTTGATTGGATTTTTTGGATCTCTCGCGCAGTTGAAATACCAGACGAATCATATTTTTTGGCAGTGCACCTGCTCGATAAAGCATTAGTGGTTAGTTTATTATATTTTTACCTAACAGAAACTTTCTAGGTTGACAAAAACATTTCTGAAATGTCAGATGTAGAAAACCGCGTTGTTATGGTGGCAGCGGTGAAGATTGCCGGAAGATTCGAATTCGGTCCTGAATATGAAGATGGAATGGTATAACTTACGATATTAATTTTCCAAACAATTTTTTAGTGCGCTCGTCTTAAGTCAGTTGTTTGCAATCCTAAACTACAGTGTCAAGAAGAAAAAATTAATCAATGGGAATCTCGGGTTGACCTTTCTTTTATCTTTTATGCTGACTGGAAAATGTTTTAGCTTCTGGAATTTTTTGACTTTTCCATTTCACGCCAACACTTGTTGCACTTTCTCCAGATTTTTTGGGTAAGCTTCTTCAATACTTTGACATCTTTTCTAAAGTATATTTTTAGCTATTGATGGGTGATGTCATGAGTGGAACTGAGAAAGAAAATGGATGGGCGACGGTAAAAGGATTGGCATATATCGCAATGGCCAAAGCACCGCTGATGAATAACAAACCTTCACTTATTGCTGCTGCCATTATGCGGATAGCTCTTCACCTGTTTGTTAATCGTGGTCAACTTTCGGGGGATAAAGTTTGTTTTTCCAAAGAAGGAGTAATAAGCGAGTTTATACAGTTCTTGCAAGTCAACTCGAGCCTTCTACACGAAGAAAGTCAATACCTGCCGATCGCTACTAACTTTTTAAATTGGGTTTTGTCTGAGAAGACAACATACATTCCAACGGTAAGTTATTTCATTTATCAATTATAGTTAGCTGGAGTTTGTAGATCGCTCGTGTGTTTAAAGCCAATCATCATCCCAGTAAACAAGAGCTAGAAACTATCGCCCGGGAATTAAAGAGCTTCGACAAGTATTGTCGTAGAGGCTAACACCTTGATACCTTTTCTAAATTAATCTAGCATTAGAGAAAGAAAGATTCTAAATGTGTTTTATGATATTTTATTCTATACTACTGTAAATGCTTTAATAGGATGCCCCCTATAGGAGCGTTGCTTAGTCTAAATATACATTCAATTCGCGTTCAATTAAAGCATTTACGGTAAATTAGATCATGTGCATGCATTTAAAAGTTTGTAACAAAAATTTTAATTTGAAACAAAATATTTTCGATCCTGTGTGTGCATTTAAAAATTTCTAACATGTTTTTTTTGCCGAAATAAACATATCATAACAAACTTAATTGAATTTGACATTTTATTGCATTCGCAGAAAAAGCGAAAATTGCATCAAAATTAGAGTATGTTCATCGCGACCAATGTATGTTGCAAAAGGTAGCTGAATTTGAAAAATACCGTAATTTTTCGTTCAGCTTTTGATTCCATTCAACACGTCAGTTCCTCGTCGAATGAGCTCATAATTCAGTCGATCGGGATAAATCTAAAAGAAAAATTACGGTGGTTTTTCAAGCAATACATCTTTTAAAGGGTGGTTTGCAATAAACTTTGCCTTACAAAATCGCAGAATATTTAAACTTTAACTGTTCAGAATGCTCTGGAAAAATGGGATAAAGTTCTGTAGTTGGACTTAGAGTTAGAGTTTTGAAAGTTAAGGCTTTTGAATGTTTGAAGGTAAAGCAGCAGTCTCCTATCATGTTCATGCCAAAGAGGTCGACCCTCGAGGGTACGAATCTCGCTCGTTTTCATTTGGCTTTTGCTTTTTTTGTCTTTCATTAGATTTTTTAAGAAGCGATTCGCGGAGACCAAGGTCCTTACGGATGGGAACTGATCATTTCGCCCAAATTTCATTTCGTCCAAATTTATTTCCCCCAAACTCTTAAGACTGTAAATTACGATTGTATGACAGTTGATACGCGACATTTAATTCGAGAAACATTTGATACGCGAAAATTTTTGTTGTTGAGCTGGTACTCGTTTCACCAATTAGGTTAGCCCAATAATTGCGTCATGTTTAAACTTTATTCAGTCAAGGCAGGCACATTAGTCTGTGGCTTCTAGTCTACAAAAAAAAAATTAGATAGGCACATTATTTGTAAAATGATCTCACATAAAATTGGGACAACAACTGAAAAACAAACAAAAACAGCAAACTACCATAAAAAAAACCATAATCCAGTTAACAAATAAAATAACCAAAAGTTTTTTGGAATTTAATGCAAGAAATTCATCCCATCAACAAAATGAGAATATCGCATGCAAACGTTTGGTTGAGCATCAAACTGAGAACGCTTTGGTGTTGCCGGGTGGACTCCTCGTGCAAAATATTCGCGAATTTTTCCGTCAACATGTAGTTGATAAACTTTTAATTTTTCGAAGAACCTCCACGCTGTTGGATGTATCTGTAAATGGCCCTTCAATGCTCGATTGATGCCCTCTAGGCAGCTATTTGTACACTGGGATCCAATAAGAGTTCTCTAAAAAACATTTCCAAGTTGAATGAGGGAATGTAGGTGCAACTCGCGAAGTTCGTCGCTTTTTTCCAATATAGTTTTTCCAATAAAAATTTGCTACAAAATAGGTTAGGTTCCACTTCGAAACTCGGTGGTCAATAAACAACGATCCCTAGTTAGATGGCATTTTGTACTACGCCTTCGTAAGTTTTTAACTTTCTCTTGGGTAAAATGGGGTTCTTTTATAGTATCGGGCGGGGGTGAATATGACGCATGAGCTTTACAAAAACCCATGAACGAATGAGATTATAATATGATTTCTGCGATATTAAGATATTCAGTGGCGTTGCCCAAATCTTTTGATTTACTTAAAACAAAGCTGAGAGAAAACACAGGGTGGACTAAAAACATTTTTTGCGCAACTCTCCATAACTTTCTTCTGAGTGGGCCAATCCTTATGATTTTAGTGCCATTTTGCTGCTCTCAACAGGAGCAACAAAATAAAAAAATAATAATATCATAAAGATCGGTCCACTCAGAAGAAAGTTATGGTTTAAAATTTGATTTTGGTCTGATCTATCAAAGCTTCAAGAAGACTTACGACATTTTTGATTCATATTTTATGGTTTGGAAAATTCATGCTGTGTGACCACTTTTTTTTTCTTCAAAATCACTTTCTGGGAAAGTTTTATGCGTAGATTCCGAAAAACACAACGAGAGCTCGGGAAAAGGTGTTTTAAGCCGAGTTTTGGGGCCCCCCAACTAGGCTAGTACCAGGCTCTATTCTAAACATTATTTTGGAATGTACTTCTTTACTCATGAATTTTCTCTATTTAATTATTTTTTGTCTTTAGTCTATCGCTCGTTTCCTGCTGCTCAATCACAAAAGATGGATGAGGTCATGCAACAAAATGCCAATGCGAACGCTATAACAGCCCGTGAAGAGCGTGAGTTTGTTTTTTTGTTACATAACATTTCTACTTGTTAAGTAAGCACTGATCTTCAGTTGCCTAGTTGTAAAATGTACGTAGTTTGCCTAGATGACATATAGCTGAGTGTAGTAGTAGGTTAGTGAAAACTTCCGTTTAAAACCAACAAATGCACCAATTGACCTACGGTTTGTTTCATTAGAAAGGCCAATTATTTTCTGCAAAATAAAGTTAAAACGGGTTTAAAATGTCTTAAGTCTGGATTTTTTTGGGAACGTAATGTTGGGTAGTCAAAAAGGGGGACGGCTCGATGATGCGGTTTAGACACTAGCTAAGGAAACCGATCTTGGTGTCAATAGATAAAATATAGAGCACAAGAAATTAGGTATAGACTAAATTTTCAGAGAAATTGAATTGGTTAATTTCTTCGTTTTTATAGATTTTTACAAAAAACGTTTTCAGTTTCGAATTTACTTGAAAGTGAACCGAAATTGACTTTAAAAGATGGGAAATTAAACAATAAACACTTTTTATTTGAAAAAAACCATAGGTTAATTGGTGAAATTTGTTATTTCTCAACGGAATTACGAAAAGGAACGAAAAGGCTTATTCACCAAACCTAATGCAAACGCGTGTTTTAAATTAAGCTAGTGTATACTTGAAACAATATTAGTATTGCAAAATTCTCTGTTACTAATAAAGTTCGGGGGTGGGCACTTTGATCTGATTTGGTCAGATCGTACTTTTCGACCGTTTTACCAATGTTATTTCATTTTTTCTGGGGTATTCAAACATGCTGGATCTATTGGTGATATTTTTAGAAAGTTTTGAACAATCTTTGTCAATGTTTTGTCGAGCTAGCTAAAGTATAACTGCTACAGTGCCGCAACGCTAGGAAATGAGGCCAGGGGTGAAAAACAAAGTGAAAACTATTCACAACACTCTAAAAATATCGCCAATAGATTAAGCGTATTTGGATAACCCAGGGAATGCAAAACCAGACTAGAAAAAACACGCGTAAAATAGGTTCTGGGTGGGTCAAGCCAAAGTGCCGCCCCCTAACTTTATTAGTACCAATTCCATCCTTCAAAATTACAAGGAGGAGGACCAAACAGCATGAGTTTATTTTACCAAACTTTTTATTTTAGGTTCTGCCCGCCGATCAGCTCAACAGTCATTGGATTTTCTCCGTGGATTCAAATCCGACTCATTTGAGGAGAATGATTTTGCACGCGTCGAAGAAGCTTTGTTTCAAGCTCATTTCATGTCAGGTATATTACGGCTATTCGTTGTGCTGCTAATAGCGCTGGTTTTTTTTTCTATATATTCATTTTAGAAGAATCGGCGGTTCGATCTATTTCTGTCGCTCCCATAGAAATAGGAGATAGGCTACAGGTAAACTCTGAAAGACACGCACGTTCAAGGGCTGCCAACCTCTGCCATCTAACCTTCAATGAAACATACGAAAATATGGAAGATCTCGTTGCACGAATTGATGAGAATCAAGTAAGTGCCTTACTACATGATAACTTACATTTACTATAATTTAGCTTGATGAATTTTCCTCTCGGACTGGTTTGCCGCTAGAACTTGCAGATGCTGGTGGAAAAGATTATATAAACTATTTTCTTTACTACCAGGTACTTACTATATTCTTAAATTACTGATTGGATAAAATAGGAAAAGATTTAGAAAATACTAGATTGATTTCTAAACTAAAAGCGGCGCTATCGCAACCAGGGAAGCAGTGGACGGGGCCTCAGAAATTTTGCAGGAAAACGCAAAACCTTCTTTTTAGATGCCATGCGAAAATGTTGCTTCTAACTTTGATGAGATTGAACGAGCTCAAATGGTTGATTGGATTTTTTTGATCTCCCGAGCAGTCGAAATACCAGATGAATCATATTTTTTGGCAGTACACCTGCTAGATAAAGCATTAGTGGTGAGTTTATTATGTTTTTACCTAACAGAAACTTTCTAGGTTGACAAAAACATTTCTGAAATGTCAGATGTGGAAAAAAGCGTTGTTATGGTGGCAGCGGTGAAGATTGCTGGAAGATTCGAATTTGGTCCTGAATATGAAGATGGAATGGTATAACTTGTCATATTAATTTTTCAAACAATTTTTTAGTGCGATCGTCTTAAGTCGGTAGTTTGCATGGCCAAACTACAGGTTCAAGAAGAAAAAATTAATCAATGGGAATCTCAGGTTGGCCTACCTTTTTTCTTTTATGGTGACTGGAAAAATGTTTTAGCTTCTGGAATTTTTTGGAATTGCCATTTCACGGCAACACTTGTTACACTTTCTCCAGATTTTTTGGGTAAGCTTCTTCGATACTTTTGACACGTTTTCGAAAGTATGTTTTTAGAGATTGATGGGGGATTTCATGAGTGGAACTGAGAAAGAAAATGGATGGGCGACGGTGAAAGGGTTGGCATATATCGCAATGGCCCAAGCACCTCTGATGAATAACAAACCTTCACTTGTTGCTGCTGCCATTATGCGGATAGCTCTTCACCTGTTTTTTAATCGTGGTCAACTTTCGGGGGATAAAGTTTGTTTTTCCAAAGAAGTAGTAATAAGTGAGTTTACACAGGTTCTCCAAGTCATCTCGAGCCTTCTACACGAAGAAAGGCAATATGTGCCGATCGCTACAAATCTTTTAAATTGGGTTTTGTCTGAGAAAACAACATACATTCCTACGGTAAGTGATTTCAATTATCGATTATAGTTAGTTGGAGTTTGTAGATAGCTCGTGTGTTTGAAGCGAATCAATATCACCCAAAGAAACAAGAGCTAAAAAAGATTGCCAGTGAATTAAAGAAACTAAAGAACGACAAGTATTTGCGTAGAGGCTAGCACTTCGCTATCTTTTGTAAATTAATTTCGCATTTGTGAAGGAAAGATTGTATGTGTGTTTTATGACATTTTATTTTATACTACCGTAAATCCTTTAATCGAACGCTTTAATCCTATAGGAGGGTTGCGTAGTCTAAAGGCCCACTCGAAAAACGATCATATCATATCTATGACGGTTTTTGAGTGTATATTTAGACTACGCAACGCTCCTATAAGGGGCATTCTATTAATACATTTATGGTAAATTAGATCCTGTCTGTGGTATGCGTTTAAATATTTGTGACATGTTTTATGCCGAAATAAACATAACATAACAAAATTGTATTTGACATTCAAGTTCTTTATTGCATTCACAGAAAAGTGAAAATTGCATCAAAACTGGAGTATGTTCCTTGCGACTAATGTATTTTGCCAAAGGTAGCTACTTTAAAAATGCACAAGGAATTTGCTTTCGAGCGGTGCTCGCAAAACGGTGCACTCGCTTTTGAGAAAGACCGGAAAAACAAAAAATATAACCGCTTTGTTTTCAAAGGGCACAAGTCTGCCGAAGATCTCGAAAAAGGAAATCGTTAAACCAACAAAATTCTCCTCAATGAGCTCATTTCTGCCATCCGTTCCATCAACATCCACTCAAAATGATTTGATGAATCCGATGGTGACCATCGATGGGACATCACCACCAAAGAAGGTGAGTTTAAAAAGATTCACTAAAAATTCAATTTCAGGAAAAAATTTGTTCCAGATCCAAAAACGACACACCCAAACCAGCCCCAACTCCACCAACAAAAGCGTCTACGTTTCGGGAATCGGCTTCGCTGCTCCAAAAGAATACGACGAGGAAACAACAAAGGAAAGAAAGGAATATTCGGAGGAGGAGCAGTCGATTGTGGGTTTTCGCAACTTTGAGAACCAAATTTATACTCAGTTTCATAGTTTTTGATAGCCTCCCAGTACAAAATCTCAAACTTTGAAGCCTGTAGGGTGTAATTGGAGTGTTCTTTTTGTCCCGACAATGCAATGAGTTTATTACTACAGAAATTTAAAACATTGAACATTTACAAGTTTGCAAGTTTATAAATCTAAATCTAACTCAAATTCTTGAGTTAAAACTCAATCTTTACTGATAGTCAACGTTTTGATCGGCGACGAATTTCCCGTTTTCCACATCATGCGCGCGATCGTTTTTGTCGAGGAAAACCTCGTGGCCAGAGCTAGTGTCGTGTCCAACCTAGAATTGAAAAAGGTAGAATGGTTTAGCCTTTCATGTAGTTTCCTCTTTAGTCAGCTCAACAGTCAACAAAGACATGGAAATCTAGAACTTTTCAAAGGACATTAGTCCATTTTGGGGATTAGGCAAAATTCTTGGCCAGTAATAACTATAAGATTCCTCAAAACCAACCACATCATGTTTCATTCCTTCATCGATTTTCGGGCTACGGCCACGTTGGCCTTGATCGGCCTAAATCGACATCATTCATTTATTTCTGCATAGGAAATATTTGGATTAATCAAATTCTAATATATTTTGAGTACTTTTGTATATTTCGTTCCTCACCTCTTTGGAAACGAATTGCCCCGTGTGGGCATCGTGGGCGCGTCCCAGGTTGTCACGGGTGATATCGCTCATTTTTGATTGATTGATTGAATAGCTGAAATTGGAAAGTTTTGTAATTTAATGTAAAAAAGACAATAAGTTTTGGAAGCTTTGAAGAACATTTCAAGATCGTAATGGTTGAGATTTGTTGTATTTTCTATCTAACTTGGATCCTTTTTATACATGCCATGTTTACCATTCATTTGGCTGCCCTTTTCATCCAGAAAAGCAGCTGTGAAGAAATTTGGAGAAAAATTGTCCTTTCCATATGCAAATTTCAAATCCTGCACGTTTTCCTGAAAGAAAACGGGCAAAAAATAGCTTGTTGATCATTTTCAAAAACTTTTCCGCCCAAGTGAGGACTAATGACCGTTCGTTGAAATGCAAACTTAGTAGGAAATAAACAACATGTTGATTAGGATGATGGCTTGTATTTGATGAAATAATTCAGATTGAGCGAACAACCCTACACAAATGGATATGGAGGAGCGAGTTGTGAGCCACAAGTGGTCGTCGAAGTTGAGACAAAATTCAGTTTTTGAGCTTTGGTCAACTTTAAGGAGGCGACAGAACTTTTGGCACGGGTCTATCCCAAAACAGCGCCGCCAAAACAGCGCCGTGCCCAAAACAGCGCCACCCAAAACAGCGCCAATGCAAAAACGCCAAAACAGCGACGAGCAAAAAAAATTATTTTATAGATTTTTGCTTTTGCTTTTTCTTTGCTGTTTTTAACTTTTTCTGTCCACTTTTTGTGTTTTTAGGGTAAAAAAAGGCGGAGAATCCGATTTTTTAAAGCTTTACGCATAGAAACCTGCGATAGCGTTTATAAAATTGATTTCAACCAAAAATAACAATTTTTTTCCTTTTACGGCCTGTTTTTAACATTTTCACTAACTTTTTATTCCTACTACGGATCACTTGAAAGCTCTAGCCGTTTTTGTTCATCATCGCTAGTGTTATGATGTTTCAGAGTCTCTTGGACTATTAATTTCATGCTATTTTAATGTTTTTTTATGCATCGTTTAATTGTTAACGTTTATTGTTGTTGGTCATGTTATTTTTAAATAAATTATCAAAATTAAAAGCTGATAATAAAAAAAATGAATGTACATTGTAAAAGAAAAAAAAACTTTGTTTTGCATCGGCGCTGTTTTGGGCGTTTTTCATTGGCGCTGTTTTGGGTACGGCGCTATTTTGGGTGGCGCTGTTTTGGTCGGCGCTATTTTGTCGGCGCTGTTTTGGGATAGACCATTTGGCACACCTCTTTATAGCTGGGGATACTGTAAGGGTAATGAGGCTACTATAGTTAAATAGTAAATGTTTTTTTGTGCGTTTTATCTCTTTTTCTATAGTATTAATTTATTCTTCTTCTCAAAAATCATCAACAATTCGATAATGCATAAAAATTTTTTGTGTATCTGATGTGGCTTCAAGCGCGGAAGTCTCGAGATCAACAAGAGAAAAGCAAAAGGGAAAAATTTACATTGAAAAAAAGCATTTAAACAAATTTTAGAGAACCATTCAATTTTCGGAAAAATTTGAGCGCTTTGAATGGATCCCGTTTTGAGATTTAGAAATACGGGAAAGTTACAGTAATTGATGGATTTTGTAAACCTAACAAAATTTTTAAAACAGATATTCTATACAAAAAAGGCAAAACAATGAGGAGAAAGTAAAATAGAAAAAAAACAAAAACTTTTGAGGAATCTTTTGCCAAATTCAAATTGAATTTTCCCCAAAAATCTTTCACATCCCTGATTTGCTTAGGAGATTTATAAACTCAAGTAATTACATTAAAAAATCGTTGCTCTTGATCTTCTTCCATAAATCGGCGTTTTGACGAACGAGCTGAAAAATTGGGGAATTTTATGTTGAAAAGGGTTTTTCCATGACTTTTGTTGTGGAAAGTTGTGCTATTTTTAAGAGCTATGAATATGCAAAAGAAAACCTTCGCATATCTACTTAAGTTCTACTTTGTATATGTTAAATCCGAAGCTCTTATTTCGTCGTCTTATTTCGAACATGACGTCTGAATCCGAAAATAATTTTTGTAGCAGTAAAAAATAGTAGCACAGTTTCTAATAAAAGCAACATTCGGGAAGGAATTGAAAAATAGAAGCACATGTGCTTCATGATCTAAAGTGTGGTTTGGTATGACTGCCGCATAGAACGACGCATAGAACAACAACGTTGTTCCAAACGTCCTGTTCGGAACATGACGACTGTTTAGATTCGGACGTAACATATACAGCAAACTTGTACAATCCTTTTAACTCACCTTTAGCATCCAATTCGACGAGCTTCTCGCTTTTTCCACCAGTTTCTCCGGCGCCGATTCGGGACTCTCATTCCCCAATTCTTCCAAACGATCCTCACATTGTTTAAAGAGAAAATATCTCATGTGAAGACATTTATGAAAAAGCTGAGACAAATGAAGGCATGAATCGCAAACGAAGAGCTCCTAAAAGTATCAATTATATAAAAACTTGTACTCGATATATCTTTCGAACTATCCTAGTCTTATTCTTATTTCTTACCCCATCTATACATCTATTAGCCAGCTCAAAGCTTTTGAAATCAACTGTAAAACTAAACAAACCCTTGCTCTCAGGGGACTATCGTTATATCGCTTCTGCTTCGCTTGCAGTGTTTCCCGGTTGTAGTGGTGCAAATCGAAGAATTGCTCAATTTTTGTGGCCAAACATTGTTGACAGGCCTGAAACAGTTGATTGATTATGCTGTTAACAAATGCTAAGAGTTGTCAAGTAAACTTTGTTAGTCTTCTTTTATCAAATTCTCACCTGACAATCGATATCTTGAAGGTCCAATTCGGTGCTCGTTATCTGCAGATATTTGTCCAGATTTTCTTCAAAATCATCATCCCAATTTGCTTTTGAACGCAACTTTTCAAGGCACTCCATGTTGTTTCTTGCCACGTCGACCATCGATTGAAAGACAAGTGACTCTAAAAAAGTTTAAATTATTGAACAGTTTTAAAACTTATAGCAAGCAACGAACCATTCTTCTCGCGAACTTCTTTGAAATAGTTGAGGGTGAGCACGTGTTGGAGCATGGCTGAGATATAAGTGTGAAGGGTCATTCGTGTCGGATCACCAAGCAGAAATGAGGCGTCCATCTCGATTGGATCTTTCGGCTCATCTTCTGAAATATAATGATATCCCACCAAGTCCTTATTAGATTGTAGCCCTGGATGCAAATACGGTGCTCTAATAACCTAACCGGGAACTATAGCAGTTTCAGTAAATCAAAGGGTACATTAGCAGCTACATAGCTTAACCAGCGTACTGTAGAAGTTTTTTTTACAGTTCCTAGCACGACTCTAATAGACTTCAAGACTCTAATACTAACCCTTGACAACAGCACACGCCTCCGTGCTTCCATTGAGCTCAGCTGTGATCGCTGGGAAAAGATCGGATAGTGGGACTTCGGGCTCAACAATTGCTTCAGATCTCGTCTGTTTGTTGTATCGGATTGCGATTGTTGCGTAGTCGGAAGCGATCTGCTCACACCAGCCAGAATACTGAAATATTGAAATGAGATAGTTTGGGGATACTGGTTTTGTTTCTACTAGTACAATATCGATGGATACTCTTCACCAACCGTGCTACTATTCTTGTAGGTGACCCTCTTCGTTTCTGAATCGATTCGTGGCGGGTATTTCTGCAGCATATTCTGATTGTCAACTCTCCACAGAGCACAGTCATCCTTGAAGAGATCTTTCTTGCAAACAACGAAGGTTCCTTTCTGAAAAGAAAGATTTTAAATTGGTTAAGTGATATTTACATGAGTTAGCTCAAGTAATATCCAATCTCTATTTGTTAAACCCATCTACACACTTTGCTAACTGCTGCATCTATCACTAATTTATCCAGTACTTACCGGCAAATGTCCCTCAGCCGATCCAAAAGCGGCCAATCTTGTCTTGATCTCTTGATTTTGTTGCTCATTTCTTGCCGTCTTCACTATTTTTATCTTCAATGAGGTGTCCCGTCGCGTTCCGTTCAATGGCTGGGGTTTTTCCTCTTCTAAAATTACACAGTGATAGCTTTATAATTTCTTTCATTGACTTTCGAAATCTAGGCTTCTTGCTTATTGGTTTTTTTAAATCAAAGTTATTCAGCTCTTAGACTAATGCTTACTTTGTAACAACAAGTTTGCCGACTTCAAGCTTGCAAAATGTAATACTCTTCGAAAGAAACCTTTTGTCCCAGCCTCAGTCTCTTGCCATTGTTGCAGCAGCCGAGCTTTCTTGCTCATCATCACCGGATCTGATTGAAGGGAATCGGCTTTTGTTTCTTGCGTTGTGAAGAGTTCTTCGACGACCACTTGTGGCTCACAACTCTCTCCTCCATATCCATTTGTGTAGGGTTGTTCGCTCAATCTGAATTATATCATCAATTAAAAGCCATCGTCCTAATCAAAATCTTGTTTATTTTTAACGAAAGTTGTATTTCAACGAACGGTCATTAGTCCTCACTTGGGCGGAAAAGTTTTTGAAAATGATCAACAAGCTATTTTTTGGCTGAGATTTGGGGAAAAATAATCAACAAGCCATTTTTTGCCCGTTTTCTTTCAGGAAAACGTGCAGGATTTCAAATTTGCATAAGGAAAGGACAATTTTTCTCCAAACTTCTTCACAGCTGCTTTTCTGGATGAAAAGGGCAGCCAAATGAATGGTAAACATGGCATGTATAAAAAGGATCCAAGTTAGATAGAAAATACAACAAATCTCAACCATTACGATCTTGAAATGTTCTTCAAAGCTTCCAAAACTTATTGTCTTTTTTACATTAAATTACAAAACTTTCCAATTTCAGCTATTCAATCAATCAATCAAAAATGAGCGATATCACCCGTGACAACCTGGGACGCGCCCACGATGCCCACACGGGGCAATTCGTTTCCAAAGAGGTGAGGAACGAAATATACAAAAGTACTCAAAATATATTAGAATTTGATTAATCCAAATATTTCCTATGCAGAAATAAATGAATGATGTCGATTTAGGCCGATCAAGGCCAACGTGGCCGTAGCCCGAAAATCGATGAAGGAATGAAACATGATGTGGTTGGTTTTGAGGAATCTTATAGTTATTACTGGCCAAGAATTTTGCCTAATCCCCAAAATGGACTAATGTCCTTTGAAAAGTTCTAGATTTCCATGCCCTTGTTGACTGTTGAGCTGACTAAAGAGGAAACTACATGAAAGGCTAAACCATTCTACCTTTTTTCAATTCTAGGTTGGACACGACACTAGCTCTGGCCACGAGGTTTTCCTCGACAAAAACGATCGCGCGCATGATGTGGAAAACGGGAAATTCGTCGCCGATCAAAATGTTGACTATCAGTAAAGATTCAAGGATTTGAATTAGATTTAGATTTTTTGCAAACTTGTAAATGTTCAATGTTTTAAATTTCTGTAGTAATAAACTCATTGCATTGTCGGGACAAAAAGAACACTCCAATTACACCCTACAGGCTTCAAAGTTTGACGTTTTTTACTGGAAAGCTATCAAAAACTATGAAACTGAGTATAAATTTGGTTCTCAAAGTTGCAAAAACCCACAATCGACTGCTCCTCCTCCGCATATTCCTTTCTTTCCTTTGTTGTTTCCTCGTCTTATTCCCTGTCCATCCTCTCCAATCCGAATCCTCATCCGTTGTTTTTCTTCTTCTTTTCATTTTTCTTGTTATCTGGTAATTTTCCACATCGGATTGATTGTTTGGTTCTTCCGAGAATTGGGCCAGGATCTTTCGGGAGATTCGCAGCTTGGGAATTGGTGGAAGATTGCCGGGTCTAAATTTGGGAATGAGAAACTTTTATCATAGTTTGTGAAGTGAATTGAAAGCTTTTAGTATACTATACTTTGTATACTTCTAATTAACTACAGTGTGCTCGTAGATCAAAGATCAACCAGACTTAAGCCCCTATCATTTTGTAAACCTTATCAAAACTCACTCGACTGGCTTCCCATCGAAGACTTGAATGATCCCATTCTCTCGTGGACAATAACAATCATTCGAAATTTTTGTCTTGCAGAAAGCTTTCTTCTCTCTTTCCTGTTTTCGTTTTCGAATTGTGTCCGCCAATGTCAAGATCTCCGGAATAACGACGGTAGCTAAAAGCACAGCTTCAAAGTGGTTTGTTTTCTCTGAACCAACCTGTACTCGGTGTCTCCACTTGAGCTGTTGGTGGTAAAAGGGTTGTCGGCGGGATTCCAGTCTTCGATCCTTCAGCTCCGAATCTTTTCTTCGGTACAACGTGGCTCCAGAGTTCTTGTACGGGTTGCTCTTTTGGAGCAGCGAAGCCGATTCCCGGAACGTAGACGCTTTTGTTGGTGGAGTTGGGTCCGGTTTGGGTGAGTCGTTTTTGGATCTGGAACAGATGTTTGGATAAGATTGCTTAAGCCATTCGACAAACTTAATTTGCCTATACCAGTTACTAAAATGCTCGCTATGAGTTACGGATCTTATTGTTTACTCCTAAACCTAAGCTTAAACCCGTAAACCCCAATTTCCCACCTCTTCTTGTAAGCGATTTTCCTTCTTCGCCTCTTCAACCATTGCAGTCATATCATCCTCTTCATCGGTGAATGAGTACTCATCATCTTTCGTATCTAAAATAATTGCTTAGTTAAGTTAACAATTTCAACTCTACCTATCTTCTTTCCTTTGTCTTCATTATAATCAAGTATTGTTGTTGACTTCTGCTTATAAACAGGAGCTTTGCTGCTTTTTCTCGCGAAAATACTCGACTCTTTTCGGAAGATTGGTTCCTTCTTCTTGAAGATCGATTCCTTAAATTGAATTTTTTTAGGATAAGTTTTTTTTAAACTCACTTTCTTTGGTGGAGATGTTTTCACCATAGGATTCATTAAATCATTTTGAGTCGATGTTGAAGGAACGGATGGCAGAAATGATTTCATTGAGGAGACTTTTGTCGGTTTAACGATTTCCTTTTTCGAGATTTTCGGCGGACTTGCGCCCATTGAAAACAAAGCGGTCAAATCGGTGGCATTCCCTTCGTGAGTCGGGGAATCGGGTGGGGTGAACTAAAAGGCTTTAAATGACTTTAACTCTAGTATAATTTTGAGAAAGTATCGGTAACTGTAACTTAAATTGCATTGGTATTTGCACTTTGCATTGGTAACTGTAATTTAAATAACTCTTTCAACAATTGCTAGCACTTTAACCTAAAGGTTTGTTTAAAGTAGATCAGTTATTGATCTCACCTGTACAGGACTCAGCGCTGGATTCTCATCGAGGAGCCCGAAATCGAAGTTATCCTTGTCTTTATCTTTGTCCTTATCTCGGTCTTTGTCGATCGATTCCCGTCTAGCACCATCCTAAAGATTTCATTGAGATTATAAAACAAAGAAGTTTATTATTGATCATTATATGATTTAAAGATCTTTAGACTTATTGTTAAAGAATGTAAATGAACTAGAATTGAAATCTTCAACTTATCTAAACCCACCCGACTTTGCACAATCGAGAAGACCTTCTCGAACTCTTTATCAAACTCCAAATTCGTTGAATCATAAGTGGAAGATGATGTCCCAGTGACAGTCAACAAATCATTAATATCATTCAAATCAAGTGTTGCCCATGGATCATTTGATTCCTTTTGCCCGTCATCTTTCTCCTTTTGCATGAATGATGAGGAAGTGCTCGGGAAATCGAAATGAGAATATTGATGACCCAGAGTTGTTGATGGAAGATCCATGTCTGAATTTTTAGATTTAACTACTAGAATAGAAATTTTGTCATTTCCAACCTTGTCGATTGATCATATGTGATAATTTTCTTGATGGACTCTCGTGTTTTCCTTGATCAGCTTGGGAATTCGGTTGACTAATCGCTCCGACATCAATATCGTTTGGGGTAGAGATTGATTTGTGTGAACCGGGATTGGCCGAGCTTGGGCCAGCCGGTGAGCCGTCGACTCCATCAATCTGAGAAAGCTTTGATACAATGAATCTAGTTTAAGTTTTAGGAGAGCCTTAGTTTTAGGCTAGCAAGAATGTGATGCTAAGCTAAAAGTTTAATGACCTTTTTCCGTTTTCTTGTAAAAGAATGATCCTTCAAACCCACATTAACTGGTGTTCCTAAATGTGCTCCATTTAGCACCTCATTTCTTAGTGAAGACATTGTGGGGAAAATCGTGGGCGACGGATTGGCTGAGGTGGCTTTTGCGGTAGAGGCTGAGACGAAAGCTTTCGTCAAATCGGTGTTGTTAGTCAGATCCCTAGAATGGTTCAATATTCAATATTCAGTAAATCTTGGTGTAAATCTTGGTGTTTTGCTGAAAACCTTATAGAAAAGATCATTTCTACTAGAGCTTTTAATCTAGAGCTATTGTAGACAAAACTCCTAGCGTTTCTACTAGAGCTTTTAACCTAGAGCTATTGTAGACAAAACTCCTAGCGTAAAATTGATGTCAATGGCTCTATTACTTGTAGAAATCTTTCAAAATCTAACTAATATGCTTATAGAATATAAAGCCTAAAAGTGAGCTTGAAAATAAACTTAAATATTTGATATTCAGCTAATATTGATGTATTTTTTGAATACAGTGGAACCTCTTTATAACGTAACTCACGGGACGGCTATAGCTTACGTTATATAGAGGTTTACGTTATATAGAGTGCCGTTTTATATAGCTTAACGCGGCCGGGACCGCCCCTCGTTTAGAGAGGTTTCGTTTTCGGGTTCGTTTGGGGTTCGCTGTCTTACATTCCCTTCACACCGCTCATCCCACCGCTCATCCCACCAAACATCCCCATTCCACCAAACATCGCCGCTGCCACTTTGGCCTAAATTTAAGGCATATTCTAAAATATTCAGCTAAAATTTAATCATTATTTCAACGATTATTCCAAGAATATTGAAATATTCTTGAAATAAAAAAAGCATTGCAACAAATTGTATTAAATGCCTGTGTTTCCATGCGATGAATCACCTAAAATGTGATAACATTGCTGAAATTTTAGCAAAACCAAAACATTTGGAGAATCATTTTTTGTCTCCTTCATTAAGATTTGAGTTTAGAAATGATTTTCTAAGCAAAATAGCTTTTTCCTTTACTGTTTAACCCTAACTGTTTAGCTATTCCTCTATTTTGTTTTGTTTTGTTTTGTTTGTTTGTTTGTTCTATTTTGTTTAGCTATTCTTCTATTTTGTCTAAAATCTGTCAAACTTATATGATTTTTCTTTTCACCTGTTGATCAACGAGCCATTGTGATTGTTGTTGTGCGGCAGCCCATTGGGTGAGATCATTTGTGGAGAGAGTGGGTGTAGCTTGAAGAAGACTCGGTGCTGAGAGACCGGAAAGAAGTTGAAGCGATAATAAGTCATTGTTTGTGGCTCCTGATGAAAGACCTAGAATTTGGAGAATTGCAGATGTTTAAGTAAAACAATACTTGTACTACAATTGTAGTATAAGTATTGTTGTTACAAGTATTTTTGTTGTACAAGTCTTGTTTTTACAAGTCCTGTTGTTACAAGTACTCTTGTTACAAGTACAATGTTACAATACAAGTATTGTTCAATTGAACTCATTTTCGTTGATACTCTGTCTTTGATTGAGCGAATTTTACGGCTACACCTTGATTTAAGCCTTGAACAGCAGTAGACAAATTTCGGTTTTACGTCAGAGTAGCAACGTTTACTAGATCTAGATCAACTAGATCAATTTGTTCTCCGTATGCCAGAAAGAGATTGTTTAAGTCTTTTTTGAGATCAAAGTACACATGCGTTATTAGAAAAGGTGATCTTTTAGGGTAAAGGTTTCCCCCGAAAATAGCACAAGGCGTTTCAGCTGTTTTAGCCTTTCCAAGTATTTCGTAACATTCAGATTTCTTTTCTAGCTTTTCCAAACAATCAATAAAACCGTTCAAAATTTATAAAGAAACTTTATTCATATAAAAACTAAGCCCACTGGAAAAAAGCATTTCTACTTTTACTAATCAATGCATAATTCATTATCCTTTCATGTTCTTAGTACATACTTTTATCCTGAGCTTGCTATTTTGAATTGAATGACAACAATACGCCCAAAATCGAATTCTCATTTCCCCACCCAAATTCCGCCAATAAAAAAAGCGCGTGGGAGCGAAAAAGGTGAAGCCGCCTCACAAAAGCGACACGCCAACTGGAAAAAAAGTCGGCGGTGACTTTGTAAAAAAATTTCAAAAAATATCGATTGAAAAACAATAATAAACTATAAATCTACGCTAAACCAGTAACCAGTTATACCCAATAATGATGACGTCACCGCTAAACCAACCTGGAAAACCTTGGGAGAAGCTGGTGAGGAGGTGCTGTTGCAGGCGCTGCTTGTTTTGATCCATCGTCCATCGGGACCTTTTCTAGAATTTAAGTAGCAAAATTCGGGTGTTAGGCAAAAATATAGTTGGCGACCCCCCTTGTGTTCGAGTTGGGGAAAAGAGGAGAGGCAAGGGCTGAGGGGAGAGCTCGTCCTTTCCCCCCTTTCCCTTTCTACACTCTTTTTTCTTTTTTTCGTCCACCCTCTGGCCTCACACACAGCCATTTCCCATCCACAAGACCTCGATCGATGCGGGGAAAGTGGTGATAGACAATGAGAAAATGGTAAAAGAATGGGGAAATGAGGAGAGGCTTGTGAAGGGACAAGATTGGGGAAAGAAGAGAGAGCACAGAAAAAGTGAAAGAGTTAGGGAAAAGTAAAGAGACACAGAATAGCTTGAAAGAAAGGATTGAAAAGAGAATGAAGAATGAGGAGAACTTGGACTTAAAAGTCTTTTAGAGATCAAGTAACTTTATGAGAATTTCGAAACAAAGCCAGAGAAAAGATCGAAATTTTGGTGAGATTAGAGAGAAATGAAAATAGAAAAGATAAAGAATTTTAAGAAACAAAGAAAATAAAGAGTTGAGAGTTAGAGATTGGAAGGATTGAAGAGATATTGAACGATTGGAAAGGGTTGGACGAAGGCTGGGAACGAGCGGAACACCCATTTTTCCATTCTTTCTCAAATCCCAGTCTCTATTCACGTTTGTTTTTAGATAATTTTGCTAACTATAAGCAAACTTTTATCAACATTATTGTTATATTGTTATAAAATGCCGTTTGTTTCAAACATTTTTATTAATTGAAGTCATGCATTGATTGTTGAAATTGTTTATGCTCGCAGAACGCCTTTTCAATCGTTTAAGTCGTGGCTTTTAAATTTACTTGTGACCTTTTTCCGAGAAAATCCTGAGTTGGTGCTTTAATGTGTGGTAAAACTACCGTATCCCTCTTAATTTGCGCGAAATTTCATTTTTTTCATTCTTGTTCATTTCATTTTATTCTTTTTTCGTTTTTCTGATGTGCTCGCGTTTGTTTTTGCAGGAAACAAAGAGGATAAAGCTAAGTTACGCTTTTAACAGCATTTTCTGTGGTGGAAGCTTTGTTTGTAGAGCTTTTTTAGAACCACTTGCTTCCCGATGATCTGCTTCACAAACTTGATGCCAACTAATGTTAAGTTAAGTGGTTTTTATCATTTTCTATGACGGAAGCTTTGTTTTTGTGACTTTTTAGTTGAAAAAAACGTTGAAACGTTAAAAAAAATGCAAAAAGAATGAAATGAAATGAAAAAGAAGGGGGTGGGACAAATGCTACCTTTTTTTGCTGGCAAGGTCTTAGGCAAGGCCGTAGAGCTTCGAAAATATTTCCATATAAGGGAATCGTATGCGTAGATTCCGAATTTCGACAAATCAGACCTCGCTGACACGTCAAATTTGGGCTAAAAGGCAAAAACTACGGAAAAGCGTTAAGTTGCGTAGTTTTTGCCTTTTAGCCCAAATTTGACATGTCAGCGAGGTCTGATTTGTCAAAATTCTGAATCTACGCATACGATTCCCTTCTATGAAAACATTTTTGAAGCTCTACGACCTTTCCTAAGGCCTTTTCCAGCAAAAAAAAGGTCGCATTTGTCCCACCCCCGAAAAAGAATGAAAAAATGAAATTTCGCGCAAATTGGAGGGGTACGGTAGTTTTACCACGCTTTAAAGCACCAACCCAGGATTTTCTCGGAAAAAGGTCGCAAGTTTAAATTTTAACTAGTTTTACAGGGGTTCACACTCAAAATACAATACTTTACTATATAGAAACTGTGCTAACGCGACAATTTTTCTAGTAGTTTAAATCCAGATTCAACTATTGCTTTTTCCAGGTTTTGTTATTATTGTTTTGCTAGATTTGATCGCTGATGTTTTTTGATTGTTTGATTATTAATTGTTTTGTAGATCACCAACATACGCGTATCATTTTCAGATGTATTCAGCTTCTCGCTCACACCGAGCCGAAACGAGAAATCGAAGCAAAGAGGATTTGAAAAGAGTAATCAATTCCCTCGAGAAAGTACGAAAATGGGAGAAACGATGGGTGATGTTAAGGTGAGTGATAAAATTTAAAAGCAGATCATTTACGAATCGTTCTTAATTATTATTACAAATGTCTTTACAAAGACAATTCCCGTCAAATTCCCGACCTCCCTCGTTTCTTTTGCAAAGTTGCCAATGATCTCGATTGAAAATCGATAAAAGCACTTTTCATTTAGAGACACAACCATTCGAATCCACAAATGGTGTCCGGTGACAGCACAGAAGAATATCACCGCTCCACCACCACAAAAAGTACCAGCACCAATGGATGATGAGGCGAGCAATACCGTCGCTAGTACTGATGAAGTTTCCCAGGTCAGTAAAAGCATTCAAGTATCTCTTTGTTGCTTAAAAGTAGAAAATAAACTTATATTTGAGTCTAATAAGCTTTTAAAATACATTTAAAACAGCTTTCTAACATCTAAATGATTCTAATATCTAATGAAAAATCCTAATGAAAGTCAAGATTCGAAATGTTGCCAAAGTTCTTATGGAGCTTAAAATGTTCAAAAATAGTTTTCTGATATCTAAATGAGAAAAAGGATCTTAATTTTGTCAGTAGAAAAGACTTTTTGGTACTTTCCTGTTATAGCCAATACACCTACCGTAAATACTGTAATAGTACCCCACCCCCATAATGACGGTGCGGAGTGCTGCGTAGTCGAGCTTTGGACGCGTTTTTCTCGACACTGGTTTATGCTACAATGCGCGCTTAGGTATCAAAAAATAGCTGAAATTCAGGGCTATTTTTTGATACCAAAGACGCATTTTTTGAGAGTACGAGTGCTTTGAAAAAAAATGAAATACTAAAAAACTTTTGTGACTACGCGACTGTACGAGGGGGGTGGGGTACTATTACAGTATTTACGGTATGCTATTTACAACAAAGTTTGTATACAACATGCATAGAACAAAGTCTGAAATGTATAAAAGCGTTACCAAAAAGACTATATTGATGAATTTGAGCTTTTTCGAAGACTTAGAACATTTTGAGGAATTAGAGACGGTAAATAAAAATTTGAGAAAAGTAAAAAGATGGTAGTAGCTAGAACAGGAAAGTATCCACTTTTGATAGTGGTAAATAGTTATTAATAGTAAATAAAAGTCGATCTTTTCAGGACAACACTGCTTTCCCATCGGAGGGAGGATTTGAGTCGGATTCGAATCAGACATTTGAGCCACAATATAAAAACGGAGCCCCACCAGGATCAACCGATTTCTCGGCGATGAGAGCTGAAGAAATGGAGAAATGAGGATGTTTTTAATAAGAAATCTTCGTTTTCTTTCTCAAACCTTTAAGATTTTTGTTCTGTTATGAACTTTGAATCAAGTTCTCCTTAACAACTTCAAATTACCCAACTTTAATCAGAGTTTTTGATCTGTTTGACTAAAATTATGTTCCCAAAACTGTTTTAAGCATTCAGTCGTTTAAATCGATACTTTAACTCAATTTCCAAGTTGCTACAAGCCACAATTGAAGCTTTTCTTTCAGAAATGCTCGATTTCCATTCCTCTATTGTGGCCAGCCTATTCGGGTATTCATCTATCTCATAAAATGTCTATTTCATTGTCCAAATCAATTTTTATCCTTACTTTCATTATTTTTCAATGTTTTAAATGTTCAATTCCCTTATTTACCTATCATAAACCTCAATTGATCTCCTTAATCCAATTTTTTTTTGTCATTTCTTAAATTTTCGAAAAAATCTCTTCTGGATTTGTTTAAAACAACAAAATTTTGCAAAATAAGACTAGAAGATTCAATTTTTTGTACAATTTTTCAGTGTCGTAAGCGTTTCTGAAAGATTGGACTACGGTAGATGGAGCGATGAATAGACGGCTACAATAAACCTTCATTTTTTCAAAATAATTTATTAGAATCAATTTATAATTAAAGTTGGGGTAGGCTAGTTTCCGCAATTTTTTTTGCGCAACAGGGTCATTTGCGCAACTGAGCGCAACTCGGCATAACTTTCTTCTAAGTGGGTTAATCTTTATGATTTTGGTCTCATTTTGTAGATCTCAATAAGTGCAACAAAATGAAATCAATATCATAAAGATTGGCCCACTTAGAAGAAAGTTATGGTGAGTTGCGCAAAAAAAAGTTGCGGAAACTAGCCTACCCCTTAAAGTTGATTTGAGAATGATTTTCTGTGTTCAAAGAACTAAAAACAAAACTTTATTCAGCACCCGTAAAAGATTAAAGATGAAAATGCAGAGATTTTTGAAACATTTAAATCTAATGGGCAACGGGAATTGTAAAATCTATTGTGAAATCTTAATATTTTGTTTTGTTTCATTGACAGTCTTGATGCCTGGATTACTGTTGTGAGACGAAAGATAAGTATTTTAGAGTATCTTTAGATAATTTTAAAGTATCTTTAGATAAGAATAAAATCAATAGATAACAAAAAATGGTTTTTTTTAATTCAAGCAGCTGCCCATAGTCCACCCGAGAAACCGGCTCCCCATGCTCTTTTCTGCTTCACTGAATTCTTCGTCGAAGTCTTTTGAGTTCTAAAACTTTTAAGCAGCTATAAAATATAAAAATAAAGATAAACATAGTTCTAAGGAAAACATAAAATCTAAGATATCGCTAACTGAAGCTCTGAACTACTAGTTCTGAACTATTTTGCTTCATTGACAGTCTTGAGCTCAAACAACGATTTCTAAAACGTGGAAATTTTTGGAAACTACCGTAAACTGAAAGATAAACTAGATATATTGAATAAAATAAAAGGTTACGGTAGCTTTCAAAAGTTGCCATGTTTTAGAAAGCTGTCGTTTGAAAACCCACTCTGCTAAGTTCCTCTTTTCACCTACCAGATACTTATTGTGCACTTACGTAGCTCTATAATGAGTTTAGTGAATTATTTGCATATTTAGCTAACCTAGACGTTCGCTTGTTGATACAATTCCCGATAAAGAAAGCGATCGCCGAGAGAATGACACAAGTGACGAGGAGAACAATCGCCCACGGAGGCCAATGATGACGCTCTGGGAAATCATTCACTGAAATCAATAGAACAGTTATTTGATTAAAATCAATGAGATTCTCAATCAATTCCAAAGAGTTTTTTTCAAATCCAACTGTTTCGAGAACAATTTGATTTATCATTCACTGAAATCAATGGAAAAGTCAGCCCAGGTCCAGTGTCTAGTCTGACTTTGGCTGAAACGATTCAGATTTGATCAAATTTGATCAATTTTCAGATCAAATCACTTTTGACTAACCTTAGGACAAATTTACAAAACTAGAAATAACACTTAAATCAAAAAACCCACATGATTGCCCTGTCTCGTGATTTTCTTGGAGTAATTTCTCCGGAAGGAAAAGACCAGGATTCTTTGGATGTTTTGTATATTCATTCATCACTACATTTGAAGCTAAACGATCGGATCTGAAAGTGAAATTGGTAGAAAATAGTTAAAGACATAAAAATGAACTTTTAAACGGAGATTCAAGGCTTTCAACAATCACTGAAAGATCACTAGACTGTTCACGAAAAATTTGATTCTTGAGATCTTAAACCTTTAAAAAATTCGTTCAAAAGAATGGCTTTTTTGAAAGAAAATTGAGAAATTGAGATGAAAATCAGTGCCTGGGAAGGGCTGCAGAAGGGGATTTCCCGAGGATGGAGGCCGGATCGGATTACAGGACATTCAGATGAAAGAATGAAAGAATAGACAAAGGAAAAGATTTAGGCAAGAATGGGAATGGACCTTTGCCCTTCCGACAATCACTTCCTTTTTTTTGTTGCTTACATCACCAGTCAAAAACGGTGAGAAAGTTTGAGCAAGAGTTGAGTTTGATTCGTCTGTTTCTCTCATTCAGTCCTGACCATTCAGCCAGCAAGAACATAGCCAACTTTAATCCAAAAAATGGACCGTGTCATTGGCTTGACTACCCCAGCAAAGAAATAGAATTGCCCATGTAATAGCTTTAGTTGGACTTGGTTACCCAATCAACGATTATCTAGAGCATGCCCAGATCTAGATTAACTTGTATGGCCTCAACTAAACTCAGCTCTAGCTAGACATCAGCTTTAGCTAGACAAAGAGTAAAGGAAATCTGAGTAATCGTTGTAGTTGTTCAACTGTTTATTGTCTTTACTTGATAAACAACAGTCAAAATCAGTCTAAAACATTAAATACAAGAATCTATTAACATTCAATAAGTCCAGGGCTTACTGTAGCTTGAAAACCCAACCAGACAAAATCGGAAGAAATGATTTTTGGTGAGTCCAATCGGTAAGGTTTTTGACATGTGAAAGGGGGTTTGTTGATTGCCCGTCCCTGTTTCCCCAAAAGGGTTCTCTTCAACGAACTCATCAGGAATTTATGAATGTCTCCTGTCCTGTTTTTTAACCCCAATTTTTCCATGGCCTTCGATCAATGCATTTTTGGATGTATGTCAAACGAAACGCCACTTTTCAACCTCAACATATTCCATCAAAATTTTGGCGAGCTCTTGATTAAATGAGATGAAAAGAGATTATTTTCTGCTTTCAGTAAGTTCAAAAGCTGAGAAACAAGATTGTTTCAAAGGCCAAAAGACACGGGAAGTCAACTCAAGCTAAAGCTAGTCTAATTTGGCTTGGCTAGATGAACGCTAAAAGCAGAATTGTTTCAAAGAACTGGACTAGATATCTACTCAAAAAGTTTCTGGGTTTGTCCAGAAACAGAAGCTGAACCTGGCTAGGAAAAGCTAGGGTAAACAATAAGCTAGAGGCAGATCTGTTGCCTGGCTTCTGGTGCCTCCAGATCTAACTCATAAAATGTTTTTAATTCTTTAATAGTTGGAAGCTAGGCTAGTTTACGTCTCCTCGAGGCTGATTGAACTATTCTGGCTAAAAGTTAAGCCAAACTAAGCCGAGAAAAACGGATTGCAATAGAAAAGTGTCTTGAATGCTTGAAAAACGGTGATCATCGAAAAAACCAGAGGAGAGTAAATGGAAATTCTCGAGTATTCAGCGGAAAAGAGACGGAGATTGAAAAGCAATATCGAAATGATGGAGGATTTTGAGAGGAAAAACACCCCATCTTATGGAGAAACGGAGCGATGAGACTCGTCTAGATGCTTAAGGGAAAAAAGGGGAGTAGTTTGAAGGCTTGAGTTGTAAAAACAAGTACATAGCTACAATTGTATCTATATTTTTAAATCTAAATCTAAATCTACAATTGTACCTATATTTTGAAATCTAAAGCTATAGAATACTAAAAATGTTTTCGAGAGTCATCCTTCTGAACAATTGTGTTGTAGTTGAGGGGCCCGCCGATAAGCCAATATCCGTTTTGCGATAGAGTGAGACAAAAGAGAGGGACTCTTGATTGAGATTTTGACGAAAGCTTTTGATGAAAGCTTTTGATGAAAGTTTTTGACGAAAGCTTTTGACTTTTTTGTATTTTAATGTCTAATGCTAAAGTTTTGATGAAGTAGAGAAAAAAGAAAGGAATTGGGAACGGTTTTTGTATTTTGATATCAGCTAAAGTTTTAAAATCATACAAGATTAAGAAACTAAATCAACAATGATATTTTTCTTGTACAACAATGATACTTTTCTTGTACAACAATGATATTTTTCTTGTTTTAATTCGACAAATTTCGGTGAGTCTTATCGTTTAATCGGATGTAGAATTTGCATCAAAAATAAAGCCAAATTTAAGAAAAAGATTGATCTCAAATATTTGAGCAAAAACGGGAAACTTTAAAAGAAGAGATTCAGCTTTGAATTGTTTTTGGAATCTTGATTAATTGAAGCTATTCATTTTATTGGTTTTACCAATAAAGCCAATAAAATGGTTATTGGTTATTTTATTGTTTTTACCAATAAAACTCAGATTAATTAGTCTAAATCCTAATTAGAACCCCCCTTTTTTAGCTTTCAAGCAATGAATTAGCAATGAATTCTCAATCCAACTTGTTGTAGCATTCAAAACATTACTAACATTTAAAATATGGTTTTACTAAAATTAGAAAACAATCAAAAGACAAGTTTATTGAATGTTTCAGAATATTTTGTGGGAGAGTTGAGGAGGCGGAAAGGAAGAAAAATCAAAGAAATGCAATCACTTGTAATCAGATTATCTCGACGGGCACTAGCAAACGAGGATTTCCAAGCAAAAGTTAGGATTTTCATGAACAAAAGAAAAAGAAACATGACCGGAGAAATCGAATTTTAAAACTGATTCAAAAACTTACGTTAATTTGGGTTGGGTTTCTTTCCTTAGAAGGAAATACAGGAAGGAAATACAAACTTCAAGTAAAGGTTGGGCTTTTTTCCTTAGAACAAACATTATAAGCTATCAAAATAGCTCTTTGAGTCATTTAAAAAGATCTTGGACACTAATAATTCTCATTCTAATAATGTCAAGACAATGTCTTTTATTTCCAATAATCTTTTTTGTCTTTTATTTCGTTTTATTTCTTGTCTTTGCAGCAAAACTTTGCATTATTGGAAATAAAAGGAATTTTGATGTGAAAATCAATAAAGTATTGTCAGAAAATAAGTGTAAATTTGTAAATTTTTCAAATAACTACCGTAAATACTGTAATATTAGGTTGATGCAAAAGTCTTTTTCATTTTTTTCGTACTTCTTTTGAAAAATAACAAAGTCATCAATTAACCTATGGTTTGCTCTAAATGAAAAGTGTTTATTGTTCAATTTCCCATCTTTTTAAGTCAATTTGGGTTCACTTTCAAGCAAATTCGAGAGTGAAAACGGGTTTTTCATAAAAATCTATAAAAACCTCTATAAAGAAATTGGGTGAATCAATTTCTCTGAAAATCTGAAAAAATATCGAACTTTTTGTGCTCTATCTTTTATTTATTAACATCAATATTGGTTTCCTTAGCTAAAGCGTCTAAAATGCATCATCGAGCCGTCGCCTTTTTTGACTACCCGACTTCAGGCTCTCAAAAAAATCTAGACATAAGACATTTTAAACTCGTTTTAATGTCATTTTGCAGAAAAATAATTGGCCTTTCGAATGCAATAAACCGTTGTTCAATTGGTGCATTTGTTACTTTTTAACGGAAGTACGAAAAAAATGAAAAAGACTTTTGCATCAACCTAATAGTACCCCACCTCCCTCGTACAGTCGCGTAGTTTTTTAGTATTTAATTTTTTTCAAAGCACCCGTACTTTCAAAAAATGCGCCTTTGGTATCAAAAAATAGCGCTGAATTTTAGCTATTTTTTGGTACCTAAGCGCGTATTGTAGCATAAACCAGTGTCGAGAAAAACTCCTTCAAAGCTAGACTACGCAGCACTCCGCACCGTCGTTATGGGGGTGGGGTACTATTACAGTATTTACGGTAACATGTTTCATGAAAAAAGTCGATATTGATATCGTTTTTTCTTCGAAATTAATTCTTTTATTGTATTATCAAAAGCTTATTACATTTAGATGAGTTTTAAGTTTAAAAAATACAAAACATTTGGAAAAATTCAAAAAGTTAACTTGAATTTCATATTCAGAGAAAAGTCCACTCTAGGCAGAATTTCTGAAATCTAGTCAATCTCATCAAAATGTTCCGACAAAATCTTGAAACATATCTTTTTGAATAATTCCCGTTGAATAAAAATATCTCTTCTTCCCTGTCTCCCCCGAAGTCCAATGGCCACATTTTTATGTGAAAGCCGTTCCCAATTCCTTTCCTTTTTTTTTTTCTACTTCATCAAATCGATCCCTTTTCTCTTTTCATCCATTTTTTTTTGCATTTGGGCTCAATTTTCACTCAACACCCATCTCTTTTTTTCTTCTTCCAAATGGACTTGTGTTTGAGATGAATTATTTAGAAATGAAAATAAGATCAAGCTAGTGTTTAAGGGAATTTCTGTGACTTCAAACAACAAAAAGAATGAAAATCAAAAGTTAAACCAAATTTGATGGAACTTGACGAAACTAACCGTAACATCAAGATAAGGATTTTGTGAAAATCAATTTTTCTTTGCTTGACGATTTTCAAGTATCTTATCAGCAAAAAGGAAAACAATGTTATTAAATGCTTACAAAGAACAACTTGAGAATTTTTCGTTGTATAGAAGTCGATGAGTACACTGATTTTGAGAAGAAATGTTGGCCTTAGGGTCAGGCTAGATGCTGGTCCTGGTCTTGTGTCTAGCTTTGTCGTCTAGTTTTGCTAGTTTTGCCCTTGCGTCTAGTTTTGCTTTTGCAGAGTGACCTGGCTTTTCTTTAAAAACCTGTAATAAGCTAGGCAAGAAGAAGTCTATTTGACTTCTTGTGGCTTTTCCAAAGTGAAGCCACAAAGTAAAGCCACGCATTCTTCAAATAAACACTCTAAAAAAATGGCTGAACGGATTTGGTTGAAAATTTGCTGAAATATGCAAAAAGAGCCTGCAGCAAAAT